CCCTCTATTTCCAGTCTGGCTCGATTACGCAAACACTTCAAAGCTTTCCTCGGCCAAGATGAAAAGCTTTTCGAGCACCTAATATAACTCGTCCTACACTAGACGTCTCTTCCACACCAAGTCTTGTCTTTCCATAAGTTCACATACTCACCTAAACAATATAATTGCATGACTTACAATTAACATATAATTAAAGATATTCATATCCTCAGACAAGTCAAATGTTATATACTCATTAGTAAACTCATTGTTTCTTCTCATTCTCAAAAAGTTAACAAGAAAACAGTTTCTTCGTATAATTATCAGTATAATCTGGATCAATGAATGTAAAAAAAAAGAGTGTTTTACATCATTTTACGTATTATTAAAATATTCTTCAATTTGTAGAATTAAAAAGAAAAATTAAATTTAATAGATTGATTCAAAAAAATAAATTGAAAATTTAACAGTGAAAACTGGAATGTAAAAAAAATGTTTTAATTGTAGAAAAAAAACTCAATTGTTTCAATCAACATCAAAAAGCTATCTCTCAGTGTTTTTTGCATATCAAAATTCTTCAATTGTCGAATAGTTCACTAAATGTTTGAAATAAGCAATATTTGTGTTAAATTTCTTCATAAAATCTGGTTTCATGTTTTATGAAATTGGATGAAATAATATTATTAGTAGTAGTACTTTTTTTGTCAACGTGAAATATTTCTGAAATGACAAAATGTAGAATGGAATAGTTCCCAAAACAAAAAATCTTAAACTACAAGGATATTTCCAAATATACTTTTCTTTATTTTCACCCCAAAAAAATGTAATCCAAAGGGGATTTGCAACCCATGTATAAACCATGAATGAGAAGAAATGACAAACATATCTTCAAATATACCAGAAGAAATGAAATCTCTATCTACGTAGACATAATGCGGTAAAATAAAGCTTTATTTTGCTAACAAATCATTCAATTCTTTGTAGAAAACGTAAATTTGTATATATATTTGTTTCATATTTAGTTTATCGTCTTTTGCATTGAGTTTGATATAATTTAAAATGTTTAATAATTAAACATAAAATATTCAATGATAATTTGAAATGATTACAATTAGTTACCATTCTTATAATAATATATTGCAAAACATATAAGTTTTTGATAATTTTCTAGCAAAATTTTCGATATATATTTGTAAATTTTTAGAATGTATGTAACAAAATATAGAAATAAAATCTTGCATTTAAAAAAAATAATCTATATTCTCATCATTTCATTAAATATACACAAATTAAGTATTTAACTGTTATTTAAAGGGTACATGTTTTGAATTACTTTATTTTTCGTATCTGATACACGTTCATAATAATTTCTAATTAGTTCGGAAATTGGTAACGAAATTAACACCTTCCAAAAACAATTTATTTGCGAAGCGAAGCAAGAATTCACGCAAAGTTGCTTTGCATAAATCAACAAGGAGCGTAAGGAAGCAGCGTCATGTTTTAATAAAGTATAATTACGTAAAATGCGTGGGAGTGTCGAGGAGCAGAAGAAGTACAAATTTAGAAACGGAGTCCTGAAAAACAATTTCCATAAAGATATCCGAATACGAAAAATTATGGGTCTCGATTTCCTTACAGGGTTCTTTAAGATTTAGTTGTCTTATTTCCACTAATTTATGGTTCAATGTTTATGGCTTATTTCGTTCGGATTTACCAAATGTTACAGTGATTTTAATGGAAAAAGAAATGTTTGTTTAACAGTATGTTTGATATACGTGGGGCTTAATGTAAATTGAAATTGTATCCCTCGTGTGATATGTATTCAAGCTAAAAAAACAGAGAGCTTCAGACTAATTAATATTAAACATAATATTTCGTTTGCGCTTTCGACTGTGGTTAAATTCGGGTCATGGTATTTCGAGCTTATTTTTAGTACTTGTATTTCTTGTACAAATTAAAGCACAGCTCAAGGATTAAGAAGACAATCTCCTGGATTTAATTGTGCTTCCACCTATTGAAAGAAAAAACAGAGCAGAGAATACAGAAAATAGAGAATAAGATTTACTTTTTTGACAAGTTGAAAAAAATAAGGTGATTCTTAAGAAGTCGACGCACTCTCGGATGACTTCTTAATGCTCAAATTGTGCTTCCATCTATAAAAGTAAAAAAAAATAGAATTTGCAGAATTTTTGTCTTGAATAATCAACAACCGTGAGAAATCTTCTAACTTCTATAGTTAGAGTAAGTTAGTAGAAGACCATAATGTTTGTCATATCAACGATTTTTTTTCTTAGTTTTCTTAAAGTATAAATTTGTACTAAAGAATTGAGAGCAATATATAAAAACAAAACAGAAAAGATTTCCAAATAGATTTTGCTTGAAAATTCATCAAACATAAGCATAGTCAACAGATTAAGACGATAATCTCTAGGATTAAGACGACAAAGTGATATTTGAGATCATTTTAATCCATACACTCTGCTTTCGCTAATAGAAGATAAACATAATTCCAAATAGTTTCAAGACTTCCCTCCTAACTTATTCATCGTCAAACCAATCATAGGTTTAATTATTTATTAGAAATTGTTAAATTTGTTGTGATATAATAGTTTAGTACAATCTACACTATATATTTGTAATAGTAATGTTAAATGCATTTAATATTATTGTTCCTTGTACTAAATGAACTACTAGGTAAATCATCAAAGCCATCGTTTATTTGTTTACATGTAATATTAATTAATCATTATTAACTTTAACAGTAACATCTATACTAATTCAATTCCACACATTTCTCATGTAAATCTACAAGTTCATCAAATCAATATTTGTGATGACAAAACTGTTAATTAATCGTCCATCTCCATGTCTGTCGCATGACTTTTATAGTACTTGTATTTCTTGTACAAATGAAAGCACAGTTCGAAGATTAAAAATACTACAGAGATCACAACTCCGGAAAGGAAAATGTAGATTGCGGAAGCTACGTGTTCAAATCCGGCGCTCGAGTATCCGTTGAATATTTTGTCCATTTCTGTGCGGCGCAGATTCCTGTTCAAGATGGCATGTATCAATCCGCTTTGCTCCATCCTCGATATCCTGCAAAATACCATCACGAATAAGACGACTTGCTTAATGTCAATTGCAAAACTTATACTCTCGATTGAGTGGCTTCAAAAGACGCGACGATCGTTCATTCAGTACGAATCCTACTCTGTACTTGAGGACGTTTTGCAGCGAAGTGCATGCGAATTGTTTCAACATCCCAACTGTTACCTCGTCAATCAATATCTTCGGACAGAGACCGACCGTGTGTCTCTTCTCGATTTCCTCGAAAATCATCCGGATCGAGTCGACTCTCTTGGATATTTTCTATTAAGAGATCATTATGGATTATATCAGATTTGGAATGTATTTGATACGTACGTAAGGATGAAAGTCGTTTCTGCCGTATAGAACAATGTTAATGTTGTCCATATGGGCCACGTTCAATTCTGTATTATCTTCACCTAGTAGAACTGATGTTATTGCTGCTGCGAAGCCAGTGTATAGTAAATAAGCAGTTAAATATCCCATGAAGAAGATTAAACAACTTCCAAAGTATTTCGGTGTATAACTAAAACCTAAACGACAAATATAAAACAAATATATTTACCAACTTACTATAATACTATATTTTTCAATATATTTAAATAATATTGGAATTATATAATTAGACCCAATTTAGTTGCATAATAAACTAAAAGTCCAGTCTAAAAATCTGGAAATCTTTATTTAAATTATAATAATATTTGAACACATGAACATTAGCAAATTTGAATTTCACTAGGCAGAAAAACTTTTTATTTGTTTGGACAAATACTAATTTGTAAATAAATAATTGGAATGATAAAGTTGTGGTATGCAACTTTAATAGCATAACGAAAAGCCTTTTCCAGCATCATTATATAAATGTATTTGTATCATGTTCTAAAATTACACATTCTTAATTTTTTTTAGTAAAATATTATTAGAATTCGTTTTTATTTAATCATTTAAAAAAATGTTTATAGTATTTCTTTAATTTGATTGTACACATATTAGTATGAATAATACTTTTAATTCAGATAAAATGAAAAAGAGATTACCTTGTTGACAAGCTGCTGCAATTGCCCAAAGAGTAATTTCGACCCAATTCCATTTTCGGGTGTCCCTGTATATTCTGGCATATTGTATGGTCGAAATTCTCAAGCAGAACGCCAAAGCTACAAACATGATTAAGAAACAGAGCCACAACGTTCCGACGAATGTGAGTATGAAGATATCTTTGGTGAAGTGTAAATTGGACGGCTTATACACGAACGCATAACTGAAAACAGTGATTACAATTATCTGTGTACTGTATACTTTCCACCCTTTATATACTCGCTGATAAAAGTACTTCTTAATTCAACGTAACCACTGGGTATAACATTTGGATGACAAGCAATTAAATCCACATTCTGATGGTCGTGCAAATCAATCTCAACAAATTCCGCCCTAAAATATTTTTTTACAATACTAATCAATTTTCAACTGTTTATTAAATATTTAGTTTATGGAAATTAAAACTTTATATACAATAATTGTGAATCTTACTTGAAATTTAATAGTTCTTCTAATGTCTTAACAATATCCGCACTGAAACCACTCAACGTTTCATTGTTCAATGTACAATCGAAATTGCGCTTATCGAGGACTCCAATTTTAAACGTTTCACCTGAAAAATCGACAACGTTTTTCTCACCGAATACGTAGTTAAACTCTATCCATGTAGAATTCGGAATTTGGTAAATTGAAGCTTTCTGTACGCTTCTAGATTCGACGAATCTCCGTATGGATTCCGCGCCGGAAGCCATCGTGAATAGGAGTGAATGAAAAGGAAGACGCGTTGGACATGCATATTTAATGGTGGAAACCATTAACGTAATCAAAGTTAAATACTGTTAAGAGGAGGATTAATAATTCATAACGGATTTGATTAAAATTATTATAGTGTTTATTTAATACGAAAAAAAAAATGGGTTGATTAAACTCAATTGGTTGGACATGATCCAATAGTGATTCCACCTTCAACCATATTGGGAGTGATGGTGTTGACTATGTTATTGACCAGTACGTTTCTGATGCATCCTACGTAAGGGATGCGCACTGTTAATCCCTTGGCTTTATTGATCAGTCGATGACCACCGAGGAAGAGATATCCTCCGGTATCGGTTGATGCTGACTTGTGGTCGCCTATACCCGGCGATGAATAAACTCCGTTCACGGCCAAAGTTACCACACTCTTCGATTTCACGGCTGCAATTAGAAAAGAACGATAAACACTGCATTGGTATTTGCGAAATTCATTAAGTACCTTGGATACTATGCCAATGTCCATCGCAGAATAGATGCGATTCAGTTGGCTGGTATCTAGTTATGATGGGTCCTTTGCCGTTGTCCACGGTTAATCGCAAAGCACCTTCGTCCAGCTCAAGCACGAAGTAATCGCGTCTGCCGTGCACGGCCATAATTAAACCGGAAAGGTTGCGCGGTTTGATGTCCATCTTGACATCCAACTCCGTTCCGACCTTGAATCTTTCCTTCAACTTTACATAACCACCTCTCGAGCTGAAGAACACGCCCTGCTCGACGTTATCTGAGCAAGGAATGACACCGTGCGAGTCTGGATTCTCCATCGCTTTGTTGTTCATCTGGAAGTTTCTGATGCAACCGACGAATGGATCGGACATGTTCAAGTTGCCCATCACGCTGTTTAAATCTTTAGGAGCGACACCGCCGAGATAGTAAGGCGGGAACAGCTCCATCTTTGTTGCGTGTCCAGGTGCCTTGCCCTCGACCACATGCTCATTGTCGATGACCAGTTTTCCATTCAAACCTTCTCTACTGATCATCACTTCGTGCCACACGTTATCATTCCACTTCACCTTCGAAACTATCTTAGCTGGTCCTGTGCCGATATTGAAAGTATAGTGCAGCTATAGACAAAGAAAAAATACTTAGTCTTTTGTATAATTGAAATTATTATAACAATATTTACCTCGCCGTCAAGCATAAATAGAGAAACGAAATTGTGGTGGGCATTATCAGCCACGTAGAAAATAATACCGTTCTTGGACAACGTTTTGAACTCCAAATTAAAGTCAAATTGTTTCCTGTACTTGCCGCGTGCTGTGTTGTACTCCAAGCGACTGTCCTTTTCAGTACCTAAATTAAAAGAAAAAAACAATTAAAAAAAGATGCAAACTTATTTCGGTTCGTATATAATACCATATCTGTAAGATCCTGAAAGGTGATCATCGTAGATAATTTTCGGATCTATTGGCAATGCGCAGGCGGATGGTGTCTCCGTGGTAACCGTGGGCCTCGGCCTTGGCGTCGGCCAAGGTGTTGTCGTCTGCGGTATTAAATCATCTTCCAATTCTTCTTCTGGTTTTGGCAAGTCTTCTTCTTCGCTACCCCCGGTGTCAATTCCTCCGTCTCCGCGTTTTGGAATATCCGATTCATTATAAGAATCTATGTGCTCGAGGGCTTCAGTCGTTGTATGCACATCGAAGTCTTCGAGCGGAGGAAGAACCGGCACTATGTGAATGTCCGAATCGCTTCCGATTTCCTTGTCCAAAATGCATTTGCCCAATTGCTCTCCGTACTTTTCTGTCAAGTTCGCAAAGTTTATGATCTTTCCGTTTATCGTTGCGTCGCCGATGCAACCTGCGAATGGTTCTACTCCCGTGACGATACTAGAGCCCAAATATCTTGGTAATCCACCGAAGAAGACGTCGCCGTACTGTATATTCAGAGGAGTTGGTGGACTGTCGGTCATTTTGTATCCGTAATCATCGAAATCTAATTTCAATGCTTCATTGTTGTGCCTGATACTGACTACATGCCACTCGTTATCGTTGAAGTTGTTTTCATTGGAAATTAGTTCAATATTCTGACTGACTAATTTCAGACGGCCATCTTGCAGCGCTAAGTACATCACCGAGTCGTGATTACGATCGGTCACGTAGAATATCATGCCGTTCTTGGCTTTGGTCTTGAACTTCAAGTTCATTCTGAAATCGTTCGATGAAGAAATGTTCGAGTTTTTGACGAAACCTCCTATGTTCGGATGGAAAGATACCAATCTGCTGAACTTCTCTGGGCAACCCGGTGTTACACCGTATGCCTTTATGTTATCTGTAAGATCAACTGGATGTCTCATAATGATGACATTGTCCATGCAACCATCGAAATCAATGTTCGTAACTTCCTTGATATTATGCATCTGCGGATATCCACCAAAGAATACTGTATCGTGGTGTTCCAATGTGTTTCCGAATATCGGAGGGCTATTGTCTACGACGTCTATACCGTCTACAACGAAGCGTCCCTTGGCACCATCTCTGCTAGCTTCGATAGTGTGCCAAATGCCGTCATTGAAAGCACTAGAAGTATGCCAAATCTTGGTACCGCTTCCCAGATTATACTTGTACAAGATTTTTCCATTTCTCAGCTCCAATGAGATGAACGTTTTCTCATTGCCATACAAGAACATAAGACCTTCGCTGGCGAAAGTCTTAAATTTCAATTGAACAGTGGATCTGCCTCTCAATTGATAACTCCTTGAATTAACAATGGCATATCCATTTCCATTAAATCTGCAGCCGGTGCTGTGGACCGCCTTCAATTTGTCCCTCTCTTGCGCGCCTTGGTTATTATCGTAACCCTTGTTGAAATTCCATAGTGAAACTGGAGTCTCTCCAATGACTAGGCCTTCGACCTCACCCTCGAACGAATTCTGCATGACCTTATCCTGCATTTTAAACTCTAGAGGATAGCTACCAACGAATATCTTGGAATAGTTCTTATCCAAGTTGAAGATTGAATACGGTCCTTCCAGCTGCTGATCGGCCACAGTCTCTTTGATTTTTCCATTTAATTCTTCTTTAATTGTCAACTTGGCATTTAATCCGGTGCGGTCAATAATGAATTGATACCAGTTGTTATCAGAAACATACTTATCGTTGATAATTCTCTCTGCATCGTTGCCCAGATCAAGAGTCAGGACTGGATAACCGTTTTCAATTTCCAGAGCCATATAGTCATCAGATTTAGTTCTTCTCAAGTTGGTGCCTTTGCCATTTCCAACGTACAGCAATAAACCATTTGGTTTTTCTGTGCGGAAGTATCCGGAGATTTGAGTGGAAGTGCTCAGATCCCCTAAATTATCAGGATTGCGTAACTCCAGCGTGGTACTCGGGTTAAATTTAACGCCGACTTCAATTCTGTTCGCAATGTCTCTTGCCAAAGCAATCTGTTCATTCAGCTTGTTGATCTTGGATTCGATGTCGCCGGTTAGCTTTGAATGAGATTGCATGGAAGGTAAGTCCCGTATCGATTTTACAATCTCCGGCAACTTCTCGTCCAACGTTTCCAATTGCTTAATTACTTGCAGCCTATCCCTAGATGCATCGTATAGTTTAATTGGGAGCTGCTTAGAAGATACAGACAAGTTTCCAATCCCTTGGAAGCCTGTGTTCAACTCCTGCAGTGTCTCTGCAGTTTTCGTATCGGCTTCCTCGGCGTTCTCCTTTGCTGCCAATAGGATGTCATCGACTGGATTTATTTGGAAGTTTTCGAGTTTTTTAATGAGATTCTTCAATTGCTCATCGTTCCTATCGCTCAACGCCCTGATAGGTCTCGATTTGTTCTTGATATCTTCGATGTTTGGAATCAATTCTTTGATGTTCTTAGATGCATCGTGAGCATCGTCTAGTAAGGTACTTGATTTTTCATCGGACTCTAAAGTTTCCATTTCGATGTTCTGCAAAAGAATTACAGTATCGTCGACTTGCTCTTTGCTAGATTCTGCCGCACTTCTTGCTGCGTCGATGGCTTTGTTAATTTCGTTGTACGCGGTGGCCGCTTTCACAGCATTCTCCGAAGAAGTTCTTGTTTCACGCAACATATTATCCAAAGCTTGAGCCCTATCGCTCAGCTCATTTGCATGCTTCATTACTTGCGGTTCCAAGACCCTGACCTTATCCAGAGTCAGCATACTTGTTTCCAAAGTCATGTTCAGTTCTACATTCAAGTCGTTAATTTCGTCGATACCAGTATGTACATCATCATATTGATATTTCGTGGCATTCAACAACTTGCTGGCGTTATTTATATAGTTTCTACTTTCAATCAAATTCTTTTCAGTTTCTTCTGTTTGCATCTTAATATTATCCAATTTCTTCTTCAAACGATCCATTCTGAAAGTAAAAAATCAATAGAAATAAATCCCCAAAATAAAAAAGATCAACTGTTACAACCATTGATCTTTCCACCATTAAATAAGTATTATTATTGTTGTTTTAAAGTAATTATCAAAATATGTTTTAAATTACATTTAATCGCCCAGTTTTTATCAAGTTTCCAGTTTATCGCTGTACTCTTGATAACTGTTTGACTCGACACAAAAAGATAAACTATTTAACGTTACTATCAAGTTTAAAAATAGTTTTCATATAAGTCTGTCTCCTCATAGCGCACGAGTTGTTAAACTTTATACTTATAAGTGAAACTTTTCAAATAAAGCGCGCATAATTATTGATGGTACAATTATAGTCGATACTGCAGATTCTACATTTACCGGTTATACCTGAGTATGACATCAAGTGTCATGGGGGAATTATCATAGAATTTGAGGTTATAATTAGTTTTCTGGGGGCCCCGTACGTAACAACAGTTTTAAGTTATTTAAGTTTGTGTTATGTTGCCGACGACGGGATATTTTAAAGATATCGATTGTCCATATTATGATTCCGTGTGTGGACGGCCCTATTGCCATTTCCGGCACCGGAAAAAGAACGAACAGGAAACGGCGAATAAGCAAACCGCAAAAGCAAGTAGTCAGGTGCCTACATACAAACCAACACCAAAAAGTGAATTGGCAAATTCCACTAAAAGCCATATACCCATTAGCTATGTACCAGATCTGGTGGTGAGATCTGACAGACCATTCAGGCCTGTACGTTCCTTTTCCATTGAAAAACCTACATATAAACCAACCCCACTGAGTGTTTTAGCAACAACAAATACTACAACCAGCCTCTGTGACTATAACCCCCCCGATAGTGACAAAGATGAAGATAATAAGGCTGAAGATGAAGCAAACATAGACAAGCCTGTTGATACAGTCCCAGAATCATTGCCTGAACACAAAGAAACTACTAGTTCAGAGAAAAGCAATGACACTTGTGATAATGAGAAAGTTAATGTGGATGATAAGGAAAAAGTAAAGTGCGATCAAACAGAGAAGAGAAGTGAGAAAAAGAAAAATGAGGAGAGCCACAGGAAAGATAAGTATGGTCGAAGCAGTAGTAGTCACAGCAAAAGTAAACATCGGGACAAAGAGAAAAGTAGCAGTTCAAGTAGTAGCAGTAGTAAAGATAAGAAAAAGGAAAAAGAAGACAGCAAGAAAGAACACAGAAGACACAGTGATGATAAAAAACACAAAAGCAAACATAGAGAAAAGGATGATAAAAAATCTGACAAAGAAAAGAAAAGAAGTAGAGATGATGACAATAAAAAGAATAAAGATAGTAAACACAGGGAAAAGCATAGCAATAAAAAGGAAGTAGTATTTGAAAAGAAAAAAGAAACTGAAACTGTTTTTGAAGACCTGCCAGATGATGATTATGACGACGATTTGTCAATTGAAGCAGAGTGTTTAAGAATATTTACAGAATACAAGCCTACCCAGCCCGAAATATTTCCGGAGTCTTCAAAGCCCATCGCTAAGGATGAAACAGAATACGAACCGTACATTCCGACGTCGAAAAAACGAATTGCTTATGGTAATGCAGAGCAATCGACTTCCACGAGACCAACACATAGACCCAAAAATATTGCGAATGCAGCAAACGTTATGGCTAACCGTTTCAAAATGGCAAGACAATCTCAGGCTAATAATGAACAAAATAACATTATTAATGAAATGAAAACCACTGCATTGAGGCGACCCATGGAAACTGCAGCGAAGGATGCACCGCCAAAGAAAATTGCAAAAATTGAACCAACTCCGGAATCTAATGGACAATGTTTGATCGATGATATTTTATCGGGAAAATCAACTGCATCGAAGCCAAGGAGGATTGCTCCAGTACAAAATGTAATGTCCATACAAAGAGCGAAAGCTAAATTGGATGAAATTGCAAAGCAGAAGGCTGTCGCATCGTTTAAAACGGTATCGCATACAATTGGTAAAGGCTCAAAGAGAGTAGCGCATGTACCGGAAGCTTCGCTTAATGATTTACCTGATGTTATACATGCAGACCGCTCTAAATTGCCAGTAAACGTACGTTCAAGATATTTAACAATGTTTGGGGAAGAATGTGTTAAATTATATGTATCAAAAGAGGACGCCTATCAAAGAGCGTTAAATGAAGAACTGAAATGCTATGAGCGGTGTTCCACTCTGGCGACATATAGAAATTCGGCAATGTTGTCAGTAAATAGGGTAAAGAAGGAGCTGCAGGAAAGAGATAAAAATGGTCTAGGACCAATACAAAGTGACGAATCAAGCAATAAAGAAGAGGATGGGCCCATGCATGGTAGACGATTCTATCAGAGCATAACTCCTTTTATATTGACTGAAGAAGATTTAACTCTTCATGGGTATCCAAGAGAAGGTGATATACCAGGAAACGCTGTGATCAACAAAGAGCAGAAATCTAGTGCCTACGATAATATAGGAGAAAACGAGAGAGTGTGTTGTAGATGTCATAAATTATATTTTATTGATGACGATGGTTTCCCAGTTACTGAAGAAGAGTGCAATTACCATCCATTGAGAAAACGAACATTACGCGGAGAGCGAAAATATTTGTGTTGCAAAAGCACGGATGATATTGGATGCATGATATCCAATACTCACGTAAGTGAAGCTTCTACGGACAGAGAACTGGAAGGCTACCAATCCACAATGCAGCCAGATAGCGAAAACGACCCCAGAAGCATCGGGGTTTATGCATTGGATTGCGAGATGTGCTACACCACCAAAGGACTCGAATTGACGAGAGTGACGATTGTCGATACGCATTTACGTACCGTCTACGAATCATTTGTGAAGCCGCTGAATCCGATCATCGATTATAATACTCGCTTTTCTGGAATAACCAAGGATCAGATGGACAAGACCAGTACCAGTATCTTGCAGGTTCAAGCCAATATTTTGCATCTGTGCAATTCAAAAACCATCCTCATCGGACATTCTCTGGAATCGGATATGAAGGCGTTGAAGATAATACACAGCACCATCATCGATACGTCCGTCATGTTTCCGCACAAATTCGGCCTTCCTCATAAAAGAGCGCTTCGCGTTTTGGCCAGTGAATATTTAAAGAAAATTATACAGAACGACGTCGGAGGCCACGACAGTGCAGAGGATGCACTTTCTTGCATGGAATTACTCATTTGGCGAGTGAAGGAGGACGCCAAACTGAAGGGCATCAAAGTATAATACTTATGTGTATTAATAATTAATACTTTATGTTAACTTAAATTATTTTACTGTGTAAAGAACAAATAAAATAAATATTATTTTTAATAGTAACTTTTGTATGATCATTTCAACTAACAGAACAGAAGATTCATAATCAATTTACCCCCATTGAACTTTGTTCTTTAATTTTAAAACATAAAAATCGTTTATTGAATTCTAGTTTGTTGTTCCTGTAAAGCACTAATTATCTGTGAAAGTTCACTTGTCCAGTAATTAACATTAGCTAAAAGATTGTTACTCTCTTTCGTTATTTTATGATAACAACGTTATACTTAAATAAGGCAACCATATTTTATAATATTTAATTGATCGTCTGTTTAATAATTATTATAAATATACTTTAATATGTCGTATTAATGTGAAATACTTTACCTTTACCTAATGAATAAACATTACAAATTTCTGATTTTTAAATACTCAAATAACTCCGCTTATTTAAAAAAAAATTGAAAATCAAACACTCTTGAATCTAGTTATAATAATTTAATTAATTATAAAATTTTGATTAATACATTTGTTATTTATTGAAAATCAATGCTTATATTGTTCATAATTCATGTAATTAACTTTCATAAAAAGTAATTTACTAAAAACCGAGATATTTTATTCTCGTCGAAATTCATTTATCCCAAGTTGAAATTTATAGATCCCTTATATTTTTCTTTTATGCATCTATAGCAATAATGATAAAATCGAAAACCGATTTGAATAAAATTTTGAAGAATTATAAACTTTTGTGTTGGACGAAACAAATTGGAATTAAATAGTTTTAAAAAAAGCTTACCCATTTTTGTCGTATAATTCTTTGGCTTCTTTGGATTTGGCAAGTGAATATTGGGTTTGATTGGCCAAGTCATCCAACTGCATGTTAAATGTCTTCAACGCATCCTTAACATCCATAATATCATCGTTTACAACGTCCACAGGTTCCTTGTAGTTCTCCAATCTTTTCAGCAGATCCAATACATCGTTCAATTTATCGCTGGCTACCTCCTCTTTCTTAGATAAATTGTATGACTTAATTGTGTTCATTATTTCCTCAGCTTTCTCCAATGCCGTGTCAATTTTAGGTCCTAGAAGAACAAAAAAAAACGTAAATAACATTTAATTTCTTTGAAATTCCCAATGCACGTACCTTCGTGGTTATCCAAGTTATTAGCAAGATCATTGATATCGGCGATGGTATTTTGAACATTGTCCAACTCCATCTCGGCCTTTTCAAACATCTCCAAGCTCCTGGCCGCTATATCTCCGGCCTCCTTTGCTAATTCGTAGCTATTATCCAGAGAGTATGTAACTTTTCTATTCATATTGTTAGAGTCTTGCTCCATGCTTTCAAGCTCTTTAAGAATTGGCTTCAAATTGATTTGGTCGGGACTGAGCTGCAAAACCTTTGGCTTCAATTCATTGATGGTATCGTTGATGTGAACCAATTTGCGAGCCGTGAAGTAACCAGATTGTGCCGTCTACAATATAATTCATTACTTGTCGTTTAATGCTAATCATTATAACGCTCTTACATTAAACTCGTCGAGTATTGGGTCGATGTCGTTTCCTAATTCATCCGTAAAATTGAGCAAGTCATGAATGCAACTGTCGCAACCGAAACAACCATAATTTTGAACAAATGTCCAACGATAAGGACACTTGTCGCATTTATCTCCAATCACACCCGGTAGACATTCGCACTGCCCAGTTTCCGCATTACAACCGAAACCCAAAGAATATTCATTTTTGCATCCGCAAGCTATAAATAATTAAATATTTTTAGTGATTTAAACAGGTGGTCTTAATGTAAATCTTACAGACGCATCCCTCCGATGTGTAATTCCAAAAGCCTGATTCACACTTATCGCACATCCTTCCAGTAACGCCTGGTTTACAACTGCATTGTCCTGAGGTATCGTCGCATTGGGAACTCTTGGAAGCCTCGAAACAGTTGCAACTATCGCATCCTTCGCCATTCTGGAAGCCATAATGGTTCACCTCGCATCTATCACATTTCTCTCCAACAACATTCTTTTTGCAAATGCAAGTGCCAGAGTCATTATCGCACTTTTCGTATCCATCTTCGTGACAGATGCAATCTGAAATTGTACAAGAAAAAAATAATTACAAATAATTTGCAAATAATTATTTAATCCAAAAACTTACTCTGGCAATTCTTTAGAGTTACTGCATCACCAAAGAATCCGGGAGCACAGTACCGGCAAGCCTCACCAAAAGTGTTATTCAAACATTTTAGACATTCCCCAGTCACAGTGTCGCAAGATCCAAGCTCGAAATTAATGTTACCAGAACATTCGCACTTCTTGCAGTAATCGCCTGAGAATTATAAATCAATAGTAACAAATAAAAAAATAGTGGTAAAAAATGAAAATTACCTGCAACTTCTGGACGTCCGTAATAACCTGGAGCACACGACTGGCATCTAGCGCCGTTGTAGCCGTCTCTGCACTCGCAGCTAATTTTCTCGCCGTCGGGGGTGACTTCGCATCCGGTGGCAAAACTGAAGTACAGCACATAATTAGTTTATAAAAGAGTTTCGTTTAATAAAGAAAAGATCTTACTTATTACTCGCTATGGGCAATGGACAGGCGCAAATCAAACAATCCCTAGGTGTACCATGAAGGGCATTGCCGTAGTAACCAACTTCGCACATTTCACAGTGATCACCATAGGTGTTATGACTACAATTCTGCAAAATAAATACCGTTAGATAAGACCAAAAACACCTGTAAACATGAAATAAATACCAAGCATATTCCAGTGTTGACGTCACATTCGTCGGCGTGTCCGTTGCAATTGCATGGCACACAATATTCGCCCTTGCGATAGTTACCCGGTGCGCATTCTTCGCAGGAGAAACCTTGGTAGTTTATTGGACAGTCGCAATCTTCTACGGAGCTAGCGATGTCGAAGAATCCACTGGCGTTGATACTTTTTACGGCATTGTCCAAGTAAACATTTTCAAGTCTAAAATATAACATAATTTAGCAATTACTAAAGTAAATCTTTTAAACAGGTGCTCACTTTGATGTTTCCGTGATACTCCAGTATGTTGCGCGTATGTAGATTCCTTTAACCTCTTTGAGTATCATCATCAAATCCTCTCGTTTTGCAGGAACCCCGTTAGGTAATTGGAAGTTGCTTTCGACAATTTCTAACAAGTTTACATATTTTTGCTCGACCGGTGGTTGTTCGTATCCGTTATGCACAAGGTAGTTATTGGCGCCTTCTAGAATAATGTCGGGTCTCATTGTTGCCTTTCCTGAAAGAACGAAATATTGATGAAATTCAGAAGCTGCTATATAAGGCCAATTTGTCAAACTTACCTAAATCTCCTATGGTATAGGAAATAGTGTAATTCAGATAACCACCGTAACTGGTAAGTTGTTTCCCTAAATATACGTCGGGCGCTGAGAAATAAACTGTTTTGTCGCTCATGAACTCATCGGCCAAATCAATGGTAACGGAGTTCTCTTCCTTGTACATTTCGATGTTGATGTTCTCAATATGCAAGGACTCGTCGTTTACAATGACCTCGGAGACACTCCAGTTGTCCATTTCGTGGATATTGTATCTGAGCAGATTTGAACTTGAGCATCTCTCCGTCTTGCCGAAACAGAAACATTCCCTGCAGCCATCTTCGTTGTACTCTTGCAGATCAAACGTGCCATCCTTGCAAATATCGCATGCCGCACCGATCACGAACTTCTTACAGAAACATTCAGCAGACTCTTGGTCGCAAATATCCTCGGTCGTACCTTGCAACAGACAGTCGCACTGCGAGCAATGCGGGAAAGCGTAATAACCAGCCATGCAAGAGTCGCATTTACGTCCAACAATGTTGTCTTTGCAACTAAGAAGATGAATAAAGATAGATAGATAAATATAGAGATTAAATAACATAACAAAGAGAGTAAAGCTGCGCTAGGAATTGAATGACTTACGGGCAGTTGCCTTTGTTGATGTCGCACTGCAAACTATCCACGCCCAAAGGATTGCATTTGCACTCTTGGCATCCACTGAATGAATCATAACCGTATGTGTGCACATCGCACTCGTTGCACATCTTTCCCACAACATTTGGTGGACAGATGCAGTCTCCGGTGTTAGGATCGCAGGTGGAGGTACTCGAGCAATTGCACGGTTTGCAATCGGGGAATCCATAGAATCCGGTTTGGCAAATAGAACACTGTCTTCCGATAACATTGGGTTTACATTGGCATTGACCGCCGAATGTATCGCATTCGAAACTTAACGAACCGTCGTAGTCGCACTGACAATTTAACGCGCCGTTATTGTAGCCCGACGTGATAGAAAATACAGAATCTCTGCAAAAGCCTTTAGCTTCCACGTCGATGTCGAAATGATTTTTGCCGCAATTTTTAATGAACTCTCCGGTTCGATCCAACGCTTCCTCTTCCAAAATGCGATCGTTGTAAAAGTCGTGTGGCACGACCAGAAGGTAATTCAGGTAAACTTCTTTGCCCTTAGGGACCTGAAAAGTAACAATTATAATTAAAGTGTTTAATTCACTTTGGAAATATACAAACCTTTAATGTTATCATAAAGTTTTCTGTTAGAGAAATCTTCGTATTCCCATCTTTTTGGACGACTAACGCCCTGCATCCTGATGTTGATGGACAATGTTTGACTGGCAATTTTCCTACGTAGAACATTCCGTTTTGCACCAATATATCAATATCGTATTCTGAAACATTTATTCGTTGATTAATTGATTGTCTACCATTTTCTTTTAACAGTAAACTTACCTGCAAACTCAGGTTGATGATAATGTACGATAAAGGAATAAAAACCGGGTGATGGTACTTTTGACCTCACATCGATAACTTTATCGTCGTGATTCATGTACACGTAGGTGGTGTTGGCAATGGAAACGGTCATTTTTTCTTTGCCATCGTGGACAATAGCTTCCTTTTTGAATATAATTTTTTTCGATTCTTGCGGATCGATGAAGGAGGATTGTGTGCATTCGCCATCCTTCATAATGCAAACTGAACTGGGTTTGATAAAGTCCAAAGACCATTCTTCGTAGGACAATACAACGATAGATTGAATACCGACGTTCGTGTTTTCTCCATGCAACCGTATGTGAATCAAATTGTCGTCTACATTGTAGACGCCAACAACGCCGGAATCTTTAACAACCACCTGTCTGCAAATAAAACTGTACGGGCAGTTGTACATCTCGACGCGATCCCCATTGTAGTCACGGACATCATTGTTGTTCAACACCTTCACGCCTACCGTATAACTGCTTTCGTCGCCTTGTCGTGTAATGTAATTCACCAATACGACATATTTTCCGGGCTTAGCAACCGTAATGTTATAGTCGATTGTGTTCTGATTCTCGTTCAGCATTGGTAAAGAGTCTTTCAGGTTGAGATGATTCAAGTGGTTGAAGTTGTCATAGTATTCGGTTAGCATGGAGAAGGCTCCTCCCCCGATATCAATGTAACCACCAAGACCAAGGTTGTAATGATAGTTATTGGTGTTAGGGTAACTATACATTCTGCACAGGTCTTCGTTGTCGATAGTACAAGGAGTAAGCACTTTCTGATTCAATATCCTTGCCATGTAATATTCCTCCGGTAATAAAACGAAGTAATCGATCAGCAGGTCTTTGTTAATGGTGATGCTGACATTCCATTTACCGGTATCCATCACGAAGAGATTTGGAATATTGCCCATGGAAACTGTTTCGAAGCTCGGTTGCTCGCTGCTCTTGAAGATGACGGAATGCTTTTGCTCCGCGTTTTGCGGATTATCAGGAATGATCTTTATGGTCCCAGTGACCGCCTCTGCGTGTTTATTCACGTAACGAATTACCATACGGTACAAAGACGGCTTGTAGATATTGATTTCCAAGATTACTTCTCTCTGCATAAAAAATGCATAATTAATTATATGGATATGATGTGGTTGATGCAATAATTACTTGTAACGGTGAGAAAACAGCGTAGCCTTTCCAGGAGTAACCTGGGAACTCTGTTTCATTGTAGTAGTATCGAACATTTGTCAAATCCGGGTTCGTTCCGTCTTCTACTTCGAATTGGTACTGGTAGAGTGTTGGGAAGTAATGGGCCTGGATGGGTTCGTTGCAAGTTCTACCGGTGATTCTCGGTTGGCAGTGACATTGGCCTTGAGACTTCTCGCAAACTGGACCGACCGAACCTCCGACATCGCATTGACAATCTAGAAGGAAACAAACAAGATGATGACTATTTCTTACATCAATTGGATGTATTCATAGTTTACCTGTGCATCCAAACAGATTGTCCTTCCTGAGATTGTAGGTGCCATCATCGCATTCGGAGCAACCTCTAGCAACGACAGAAGGTTTGCACATGCATTGACCGTCGTCGCGATCGCATACTGCTATTCCACCTAGGATTCCGGGTTCGTGGCATTTACATTCAACACATCCTTCGGGATTCATGGTGTTCAAGTTCCAATAGAGGGGTTTACATTTGTCGCAGATTCTGCCTTCAACGCGATCTTTGCACAGACACAGTTCACCTTTTGGCACGGATCCGCAACCGGCAAAGGCGGCGACAACACCGGCTGGATTGCAGTTGCATTCCTCGCAACTGGGGAAGTTGTAGAAGCCATCTTTGCAACGATTACACAGCGTTCCATCGAAATTATAATGGCACTGACATATACCTTGGGAATTGCAGGTGATTCCATTAGAGCCGTGATCGTCGCAATTGCAAGCTGCAAATAAATATATCAGATTTTAATTAATTTGTTTCGTTATACTTTAGCATTGAACTTACGCAAGCACTCTGGATAGTTGTAGTAACCGGGACTGCAAACGTTACATGTTCTTCCTGCGAAATTGGAAAGGCAGGGACATTTTCCAGTGGTATCGCAAACGACCGATTGCGAACCGATCTGACTGCAATTGCAAGGTTTGCATTCGGGATATCCAAAGTAACCAGGGACGCATTGGTCGCATCTCTCTCCTCCGTAACCTTCCTTGCAGATGCACTTTCCGCTTTCCTTGTCGCAAATATCAGACTGGGTTCCTTTAACATCGCATTGGCAATACGTGCAGCTAGGATAGTTGAAGTATCCATGTTGGCAATCGGAGCATTGTTTTCCGCCGTAATTGCTCTTGCACGTACAAGTTCCAGAGTCTTTGTCGCAAATCGATGAGATGGCTCCGAGCGGATTACACTCGCAAGCTACAAGAAGAAAATGTTAATAGTTTGATCAGCAAAAGTTGAATCGATGAAATTCTTACGTTCGCACTCTGGGAAATTGTAAAATTCATCGGCACATTCGCCGCAGGTACTGCCGCCAAAGTTGTTTTTGCAGTTGCAGGTGCCTTCTTCTTGCTCGCATTGCAAATTGAGGGTACCATTCAAATAGCATTCGCAACTTTTGCACTCAGGATATCCGTAATACCCGAAACTACATGAATCGCAATTCGGTGTTTGATATTCCGGCCTGCACGTGCATCGACCGGATCCTTCCTCGCAATCTCCGGTCGAATAGAACTTGTCGCAATCGCAAGCTGCAAATAAAAAAAAAACATGCATTAGAAACATTCATCAGTACTTCCATTCCATTTTAATTCTTACGGTGACACACGTCCGTTTCATTCCAATGTTTGCTGTACGGCTTATAGAATTTTGTCTTGCAGCGGTTGCAATTGATGCCCTCTGTGTTGTGTTGACAGTTCTGGCAGACGCCTCCTCCATCGTATTTACCGTGGATGTCGAGGGATTGTTGGTTTTTGTCGACCTCGGCGTCGTAGATGCACTCGTTGCTATGATCGAAACAGTTGCAAGCTAAAAACAATAGACAATTACTAGAAGAAGACCCATCCACATAACATCGATGACTCACGTTCGCATTCAAAGGGTGCCGAAGATTTCGATTGTCTCCAAGCCTTCTGCTCGAAGCCTGGACAACAGGAATCGCATTTAGATCCGCAGGTGTTGTGTCTGCAACCGCAGACCAGAATTCCCGGATCGGAAGTCTCTCTGTTATCGCAACTGTCAGCGTGACCGTTGCACATGCATCTTCCACCAATACTGATATCCTTGATGGAATAGAAGAACTAAAGAACAACAAGAAATAAACATGTATCTATCGAAAGCTTACGTTAAGAGCAACTCACTCTTCTGGTGACGGTCGTATCTTGCGTGGCTACGAACATTAAATGTCCGTAAAGATTCTTGGTCCTTAACATCCTCAAACGAACATTGGTAGCTCTCGTCCATTCTTGCAATACGCTGGAATTGAAATAATGGCTGGCCGATGGACGGTCTTTCAGCAGAGGGATGGGAATTTCGCCACCTTCCAGCGGTACGATCTTGGAATAATCCGTGGTGCAAATCACCGAATCATCCTTGGTGATGGGATCCAAAGATTTATCACCGAAATGCGCCATGCAATCTGCACGTGATTCGCCAAAGTATTGCCACGGGCTGAACGTCTTTCCGTAATCTACGGACTTTTCCAACACCCACAATCCTGGTCTGGGCGAATTACCCATTTTCACATACACGTAAGCCACGTGAAATTCCTAAAAAAAATTACATCATCATTTAATTTCTTTATAATAATTATCATGAAACATCTAAATTTGCCATCATCTATATAACATAGTTCTCATCACTTGATCATTTTTATTAATAAATCAATTTACATAACAATAGCATTAAATATACATTTAACGAAATGTGACTGCAAAAATCAGCTTTCTGTTACATAAAAATTGTTTTGTAACAAACGAGGGTCAACTGATAAGGACTATGATTTTACGGCCGGAAACTTGTATAAACTAAGATTACAGAACACTTTAAGTGGTGACCATCTGTTTTTCTCTTCGTTTTAACAATTCAATATAAATTTTTTGTTTGCACAATTTTAGAGTTTTCTTATAAACTTATAACTATTTTATATTATTAAAGTGTGAGTATCTGTTAAAAAACAACATGGTTCACATTGGAAGTTGGAATAACTTTTTTTTAATAAGAAAATGGTTGTGCATTAAATAATTAATGGCTACAAATAATAATGTAAATATGTGGGTGGAAAATTGCAAGTCGTAAAGTTTCCTGCGTATACAATCCGCCTTCCGCATTCTATTCTAGATTCTATAGTTATAAAAATACAGTTACAATTAAAGAGTTGAAATATTTAGTATTAATACTAAAAACTAGTAAGTAATAAGATACATTTGTATCATTTACATATACAACATTTTGCAAAAATAAAAAAATAACATTTTTTCACTTTTTGTGCGGTTTATTATTTATTTAGTTTTTCGCTTAGTCCGATTTCAAACAGTCCGCGATATTGGCGGATTTGAATACCCGCACTATTCGAGTTATTGTTGTACTATTATTGATCAGAAACTTGGAAAGTATAGAATAGTGTGCTAGCGTCATTGAAGTTAATTATTTTGTTTTTAGTAGTGCATTATGGATAGATGCCAAGAGTTTCATTTTACGATACTGTTTTTATCAAAAGTTTTGAAACACGTCCCAGTTTAAATTTCTTGTTACTTGGAACATAAACAATTCATTGAAATATTTTGTAATTATAAGAATCAATTAAGAAAGTTATCTTTGCTCTAAAATAACGATAAATATGTTATTATTATGTAATTAGTGTTTGTGTAATTATGCGCTTGAAGTATTCACAGAGAACCACTTATAAACACTGTCGGACCAAGAATAATCTATTACTATAGTCAATTATTATTATACAACGTTATTTACCAAACAAACTTTCTGTATTGTTTCTGCTAGAATTGGATAAAAGATACCGGTGATCTATTCAAAAACTGTACGCAGCACACACTGCTTAACTATTGTATTTAGACTAATATCCAGTTTTAAATACTTGTTTGTTTCTTTTTAATTATATTTATTAATGTTTCAAGCAAATTCATGTTGTACTTAACTTTCAGTAAATCTAAATCTACGAAGAAAATAGTGTAATTTAAAATTTTAAATATAAGTAAAAAAATATTTTGTTGTACAGATGTCAAGTGATGTTAATTATTATATAACCACTCTGGATTAATTTAGTGTTTATTTTTATATGATTTTTCTTTGAAATTCATTGAATGATGCCACAATTTGAACAATTAAATTGTTTGTATGAAGGGAATAAATGGAGGACCTTTCTTCTTGCACATGAAAAGTATGTTACGACATTGTATTTTTGATGCTTGAATAGTAGGTTCCATCTTTGACTATGAAATGCGTTCAATGAGAAAGATGCACGTTTGTACATGTTCCCAGAAGGTTTTTCGTTTGGTGAAGAATTGTTTCTCTGAATGTACAAAAGTGTGTTGAGCACATGTTCCATCGTGCAGACGATTCCTGGAAGAGGCGTCACCCCCACCAAGATCTTTCGCTATTTTACAGTCTAAACAAATGGAGAAGAGAGGCTCAATACAAAAAAAAAACACATAACAAGACGCTGATTCGAAGCGTCCCAGCATCGCCGCATGTTTTCGAATGGAGATGATGAGGAGGAGGAGGAGGAATATGGACCAAGCGGAATTGCTTAATTTCGTAACGCGATGGATGATGGCGATTGCATTTATCAGCACAGACAGCGTCAACTTTCCAAGCATTATATCTCTCCGTGGGTGTCAATTTCCTGCTGATTTTGCTTCTTTATCATCGGCGAAAGGATGTGTCCGCAAATCGAAATTTATTCACGCTTCTGACAACATACCGAACGAAATTTCGTTTTGTTTCCCCGCTTAGAAATAGAAATGTTCTAATGGCCGCAAGTGTGCTGCAATTCCATTGGGGAAGGCGCATTGCACCCGAATATAAAAAACTCCCTCCACGACAAACTATAAATAAATGCAATTGCAGATTGCGCCGGAAGCTACCGGCAACAACAGCAACAACAAACGAAACTGTTTGTTTCTCGTAGGAGATCTCTGCAAAATACAATAAATTACCTGTCCCAGATCAATCGTGAAATTGACTTCGTTGTATTTCATTCCACGGGATAAGGGAGGACTCTGCCACCAGGTCTCTTTGCCGTCCACCGCATTCTCCGGCCTGTGATTCTTTTTCGGCTTGGATGGATCGCATTCGTCGCAATGCTGTACAAAAAAAAAGAGAAAAAAATCATTGAAAAAAAAACATGCATCGAGAGACAAAGTTTAGATGTAACCGAACTTATGTTTTCGCTTTTTTTTTTACTCTACGCGAGTTCAAAGTTCGAATTATCAGTTTTAGAGTTTTATCTTGAGCCTTAATAAATGGGGACAACTGACATTATTTATTGTAAGAAAACGAGAGTTCGATAAACCATATCTCGACAAACACACGACGACAATCTTTGCTTCATGTTGAAATAAGACTTCTTCGGGATGTGAAGAAAATAATTCGATAATTTCGTTTGAAAATTTGAATTTATTTTTTTTAATTAAATTGAATTAGGCAATGAATTTTTCAATTTATTCCACCATAAAATTAATTTAATATTTTTTCTTTTGCCTGAATATTTTTTTAATTGGAGACGAGGGAAAAGACCGGGTCTCATTTCTTAAGTAATTTTAAAATCGTTTTTTTTTTGCCGACTGGTTCATAGCGAAAGGTGGAAGAGCAAAGTGAAGGAAAAAAAAGTGGAAAGGTTCGGGTGAATAAAAACCGCTCCGAAGAGTGGAAGCAGGTAGTCATGTAAGATTTAATTGCCCGACAGCAGGTGTAAGACTCTTCCCTTTTGTCGATCGTCGTTTGTATTAAATAATTTATTTACTACTTCTTGCCAATGATGATCATCATGGTGATGAAGAAGGAACGAGCTGTTGGAAATATTGGAAGTTACTCACTTGTCCTTGTATAACGTTGGTGTTGACATCGTTCTCGGCGTTCGTCGGTCCTACCAGTTTGCAGTAGAGCTCCGGGCCTCCGGTGTCTTCGCCGCAGGTAGCGGTGGCCGAGACCCTCCGCCCTTGGGCTAAATTAAAGTACGGGGGTGTTAGGATCTTCGCGTTCGCCGCCCCCGTGAGGAGAACGAGCCAGAGGCACACCACAGCTGGTGGCCCAAACATCTTCACTGCACCAAACACTAACTGAAACTGCGGGACCTGAGTAAACTCGGACAATTCTGACCCTCTTCAATAGGCTGTATTCAGACTTCGTTTTACCACTATCAACACCAGATAAGAATGAACATTCGAAACGTTACTTACTATCTTTATATGAATACATCTATATATATACAAACACATAGACGGACATTCTGAAATGTCTCTCGTTTCACGTATTTACTTTGAAGGATTTAGTGCAACCCAGCGACATTTGAATAATATATAATTTGTATTTACTTTCATAAGCACTTTTCATTTTGCTTTCGGTAATTTTACACTTTGCCAATTCATTACATGATACATTGTACCTTCCTCCGTTTTATTTTTAAAATTTGAACTGCTTCAACATAATTTAATCAACCAACATGCACACACAAATTACGCAAACACAAATAATAAAGAATATCAATATGTTTTATACATATTAATTAAAAAAATTGATTTTTTTAAAATAATTATTAATTATTTATTTAATAATTAATAACACTGAATAAATAATTAAAAATAAAATATATTCAATTATTATTTACTCCTAATTACTAAGTTTTTCAGCTACATAACCATATATAAACTGGAGCTAATACTATCTGAATCGAATATAAAATTATTCACGTAAATCTGCAACAAAACTTTTCAATTTTATAAAATATCAACTTACATTTTTTATTATAAGTAATTAAATACGAATTGAAAAGCAAATGTTTGTTTCAAAGAAAATCAACATCAAATTCGAAATAAATTGTTACTAAACATACTCTTTCTTCAAACTACAATTTCAAATTTTGAATAAATTGTGTTAACAAATTAAAATTTTAAATCAATTGTTCTAAATTTTGATGTTCATTTTCAAAAGATATTCATTACGGTGGTTCCCAGAATTTCAAATATTACGTTTAGGAAATGTTTTTCAACAGCTTGGGTACGCAAACGGGTTGCAACCGGACTTTGCCCTTGGGCCCTTTTGTCCCTTTCTCCAAATCTTGCATAAATCAAAAGGGTAAACTATTCCACAATCTGATAGTAAGAACATATTTGATTTGCTAATGTTTAATATATAAAATAAAAAAAACTGAAATCCCGACGACGACTATTGAAATTTCGAACGTCGGGAATTTGATTGACGGTATTTCGGTTGTCGGGCTTGCGATTGCCACCAAATGTTCATATATTAACATTGATTAATTAGTTTAAGAAACAGTATTTGCAAGTATTTCAAAGATATTTCAATACTTATATTTGTATGAATGTACTAAGAGTCCACAAATTAATACAAAACTGAAAAGTTTTAAACTAATTTTGTAACAATGGCGTCCATTAAGTTGTTGACATTTGACAGCGCCACGAAAGTTAAACAATATAAAATACGGATTGGTGATCATTAGCAAAAGTAACGAATTACAAAATAAGTTTATGTTCAATGATCAGAAATGTCTTAAATATTCAGAATTCAACTGTTTCGTAGATTTCGCTTATTATGACTAATTGAAAACAGATTACATAGATAGACTAATCCAATATATCTTCAACAAAGATTACCAAACAGGATTGAATAATGCTGATTTGCACAGTGTTAATTCTGTTCTTGAGCAATAATATTTATATCAGCATATGCACTTTAATTTAGCTTTGCTAGGTCCACACATTTTATTAAAATGGAGAGTTTTTTTTAATATAGAAATTTTGAAATAGAAATATGTAATTACGGCATTTACATACATAATGTCTGTTTTTGACCAGATAAAGAATATAATTCAATATTTAAATATAAAGTAAATTCAAATATACAGTTTTAATGTATACTTTTTGCGATGCATGGAAGATAACCATTTGAGGAACATGTCTTTGTAAATATATAGTTTATATGAAGTTAAATAAACAAGTAACATTATTGATTATTGATCTAACAATATCTTTTGTGTATAAATATTACTAATTCAAATATCTTCTAAAGAGCAGGAAACATAATTGTTGCCTGATTCTATTTAAATCAATATGCAACCAGTTGTTGCATATTTTTATTATACTATAGGCAAGTATAGGTTATAAAGCATTGTAACCATAGTGAATAATAGATATTTGGTATCTATAACGATTTGTAATACAATTATAGTGTATTCAATATTATGGAGAGTGCAGGTAATATAAATGATAAAATATTAATCCGAATATTAAATGAATGTTAAACCAATAGGTGATAATTTGAAGCGTAAAAAGAAGCAGTATTATTCACAGAAAAGGCAGCGGCGTTTCGAAATCACCGCAGGACTAAAGGGATTTCTATGCAGCTGCAATTTCAATGAAAGAGACTGTGTCAAGGAATCCTACAACCTTTTGAATAAATATGCGGACAAGTTGTACCCCCCTAAAGAGAAGGAGGAAGTTGATGAGGAGCAGGGTATCGAAGAAGAACTTTCTGCGGAAGTTGATAAACTGAAGAATGAAAGAGGAAATGAGGAAAGAAGATTCCAATACATTGACACTGGTGCTAAAAACCTTTTATTTATCAAGACTACATTGGATGAACCAATTGAAGTCACAAAGGAGATAGTTGATGATATTATAGCTGAAGGAAAACAACAGACAAGGTTTCTGATTCGCTTAGTGCCAGTTGAAACAACTTGCAAAGCTGTTGTAGGTGAAATTCGGGAAGCTCTAAAGCCTCTGTTAAAGAAGAACTTTGATAGTGGCCCAAAGACATTCTCCATAGTTTACAATCATAGATTCAACAACACCTTGAACAAGGAAGAAGTTATCAAGCTGGTGGCTGACGACGTCTTCGCAATAAGGGCAGATCACAAAGTCGACCTGAAAGGAGCTGAAACTAGTATAATCATTGAAATTATCAAAACGTTTGCATACCTCTCTGTAGTTCCCAATTATCTTAAGAATAAGAAACATAACTTGCATTTAATATGTAAACCAGAAGAAAATAAAGAATAAGAAAATTTCTTGTTTTTTTATATACGTAGTTTTATTAATAAAACTTATATACATAATTTTGTTGTAGGAACAAGGAAAAATAAATAATTATATATTTTTATATTGGCTCATATTTTTTTTTCAACAAATCTTATATACAGTATCTGAATTGTAAATGCAAATTAAACTATAATGAAAGTTCTTGCATTTCATTAAATGTTATGGGAAAAAAAAACGACAAAATAAAGGAAGAATAACTTAACATTAATGAAACAAAGAAAAACGCGAACATGTTGTATGTCGAATTTGGAAAACAATCAATCCTGTTATATTCTCTCAACATTTTCCCTCTGTATATTTCTATGACGGTGAAATAAAATATTATGTACATTTCAAAGAGAAATTAATCGAGTTGATGGGAAAGAGGAGAGGGTGAATATCTGTTGATTTAACAATCTTCATGTACCAATGACAATACACAATATTTCCTTTAACTATTTGAATCTGTAGTTCTTGGTGTTGTGGAAATTGTTTTTATGATGAAAATTTCTGCGGTTCCTGTGTCTTCCACCTGGATTGTAAAACTGCCTGTAGCTACTTTGGCCCCAATTTTTCGCATTGTGAAATTCCTAAATAATTGAGAAGAAATAAATCGTTAGCATGGTATACTTGTGCGTTTTGATCGAGTGATAAACTCACTTGTACTGGATTGTAGCCTGGATTGGATTTGAATGCACTATTGTTGTTTGTCTTCACATGTTTTACACGTCCGACGTCCATATCGGCATCTACTAATGCTCGTTTGCGGTCCTCTCGCCTCTCGTTAGCAATTTCTTTGTCCAATTTAGCTCTTGTACCGTTCCATGTAGACACAGGCTGCGAATAACCAGCATGCGACATCTTTAGTAATTCATTTACTGTAGTAGAATTACTACTACCACCAGTAGCCGTCTTTTGACCATCTCGTTTGGTGCTCGAGTTCGATGGGCTGTTCTCTTCCGTGGAAGAGGTAACCTTCCATTCACCGTTCGTTGCAGCTTTGGTAGATACTTTTTTGATATTATTTTTACTATTTCCGTTGCTGCCACCACTCTTCGCCACCACCTCCTCTTCATCTGAGCTCGTTTCTTCGTCATCTTCATCGTCGTCCTCGTAATCATACGGCACTAGCTTCGCGGGGTGGGCATTGGTTTGATTGCTGGACGACGTCGAAGTGACAACGACCGCATTCGATTGGCTAGAAGACGAACTCTTTGTTATTGTATTGTTTTTTTTGAGGGATGATTTTTGGGCTACCGATTGCCGTTGCAGCTGTAGAGGTGGCGACTTCCTCTTTTTTTCTTCCGCGGCATCAGACTCGCTTTCACTGGACGACGAGGAACTCTCACTCTTTTTTTTACCATTTGAAAGCACTCTTGAACTTGTCACTGTACCGTTTTGATCCTCCAACTTGATCATTTTGGCTGGAGGCAGCTCAGGTCCATACACTTTGTTATTACTATCACCGTGGCCGTTCACGTGCGGCTTGCATGGATTCGAACTGAGCCCTTTGCTCACATTGTTCGCAGGTTTATTTATTTTATTTATTGTCGTACCGTTTACAGTTTTCATAGGTGCCTTTTCCAATTCGTACATTAATATATACGCATTTGTAGAAAATACTGCCTGATGGGAAATTGGTCTCACCTAATAATCGAAAAGATCTAAGTTAGTTGAGAACCAAGATAAAACATTAAAATATACTACTCACCATGCTGTCATCGAATTGATAAAAGTTGCCGCACGGTACTTGTGCTACCGCAGTATAGTGACCACAGTTTACAGTGGGTCCCATATGGGTAACCATTGAAACAAGTCTATATACAAGAGGTGCATTTGGTCGATGTCTCGCATACCTACTCAACTCGAGTCTCTGCTTGAACTGAACAAATTTCGTAATTTTGTTATTCGTCACCGAGAATCGTTTGTACTGTATGCATAACACCATTGGTGCCCTCTCCAAAGAAAACTGCTTCGTCGCGTGAACCTTTAACGAAGCAAAATAAAAGAAATTACATGTTGCACATTATAAAAGGCTGCTAAAGTTCACATACCTTCTTTTTACAAGCTTCACAGTGGTATGAAGCTTCATCCAATTGCTCTTTTGCAAAATAAGCTTCAAGGGCATCGTCCAACGTTTGAGCTTTTCGAATATCTAACAGTAAATCTTGAAAATGTTGGAAAGTAGTACTCACATGACCACAATCCAAACAACGAACAGCCGAGCGCAAATAGCCGCCCAGGATTTGATTAAGAGGCGTCGTTTCTTTAATACGAGAATCGAATTGCGTATGATTCTTGAAACGATTCAAGTACGACTTTTCCATAGCCTCGACTAGGTACCGCATGAACTCGTGCGCATCTTCCTGTCTACCAGGTATCAGATTTCTGCACACTACTCGTAGTTTATTAAAAATTAGAAAAGGACGGATAGAATTATTATTGCGTTGCTGCGAGTCCTGGAGCGTCTTCCTCATTGCACACACAATACACAAGCCACCAGATTCCTCACATTCAGCCATGTGTTGTTTGTCAGAGACTAACCAATTAGCAAATGAAGGCACATGAAATAGAGCCTGTAGGGTAGAATTTAAATAGCATGTGTTTCCCATGTTCACCATGCCTGCACCCACAGCCCAGTCAGTGTTACTCCATCCCAATTGGACTGCAGTCAATGGGAACAATTCATGTTTAGCCATAGGCAGTGTTTCATCACTGCCCATATTATTGTTTGCAACAGAATTTTGTCCCTTGCCAGGCTTATTAATTCCATATTGGGAATCTGCTGACTTTAATACAATATATTTAGACTTCAATATATCTAGGACGGAACTCTGATAACTTCCCGCCGGCTCAAATTCTATATTAGATAGGAGAGCCTTCTTTGAGGAGCCAGCCAACTGGCTGTCCAGTCCATTCTCTAACGAGTTGGAGCCCTTCGAAAGTGCAGTTCGGAGAGCCGCATTCACGGGGTCCACGGTTGATGCCGGCATGATCTGCAGTACAAGAAAAACACATGTTGCATGAATATAATTAACAACAATCCGAATAATAGGCAACCACGCATACCCAATTTTCAATAAAAGGCGCCAAAAAAAATAATAAATGAATACATTAAAAACACGCTGCTGGCTACACGATAATTTCGAAATAAATCAACAAAATAGGCGGTAAATTTAATGCGTAATCAATGCGTTGAATTGAATTTGGTTTGGTGACCTCCCCCCACTGAAACCGTTCTTATATTGCCACATTTTTTCCTCGTCTCAACATAACCTGTTTGTAACCGAATTCTACAGAAACCGCGTGTTTTCGTAGATCCAAAAGCGAAGGAATAGTATATACATGTTTCAACAACTAAATCATCGCATACTGATTATGTACACATCGCATTTCGTAACCATGGAGAGCAGTTGTTAATTAGAAAAAAATGGCACCGGATCTAAAAAAAGGAAAGTAAATAGATGCGGTGTTTTCCCGGATCTGCGTGTATGGTTTTATATATTGATTCGTAGAAGATGATCATTTTTTTGGGGCACGTGCTTAGCCCGACCGAAGATTATACAAAATTCGCGCGCGCGTTCCTCCTAAACACAACTCTTGTACCTCATAGCATGCATGCAAGTATGTATGTATGAACGTGCCTGTGTGGCTCACACTTACCGTATTGTACTCCAAGTGGTATTATTATAATGCTATATCATCAGTAGATCGCATAGTTTGATCACTTTAAAGCCGTACGCGAACGTAGGTGCAACTGCTCTACGGATCGAGGGAAACGTACCGACGGTCCCAAAAAATTAAACATACAGAGAAGACAAATAATAACAAGACACTTTCTCTCACTCCTCCGCACTCTCCGCACCACTCGACGCTGTTGTCACATAAATGCTCTCTTTTTGCTTCACCGATACACACAAACCGCGCACACCGCAACGTTGCCAATTTTTGATGCGTATCCTATGGTTACCTACCCAACACTAAACGATCACTTAGGCAATCCACAAAACACACCTAATAAAACCAATTACTTTATAACAATTTTTAATTAAAACAATTGTAATTACCAGTTTAATTTCATTTAAACAAAAACAGCATCAGTCGAATAGAGAAATTCAGTTATAATCCGCTAGGTGCTGAATTGATGCGACCATCGAACCATCGTAATTACTTTAATAAATAAAAACTTAAACTAATCACAAGAATCATTAATGAATATATAAGAAATTAAGAAATTACTTACTAGATTATGTTACATATACATTAATTTTTATTGGTTTTAGCATAAAACTTAATTCAATAGCATTAAATTATGAATACAGTTATAGTTATATTATTTTCCACCAGGGGTCACATTAATGTAATCCCAATCTCTAATAATGTATGTATGTAATGTAATGTATGGTATATAGTAAATACTGGTAAAAAATATAAGGACCGACCGACCGATTTGTATACATTCATAAAAATTTACCGCCCCCATAAAATTCAAATTAACAAAAATACATAAGGATATTTGTAACTAGTTATAATTTTTGCAAAAGGACATAAGGCGGAAGACCTTATTATAATTGATGTTATTTTTGAAGAAATACAAACTTTAAAACCTCTCAAATTCTTTATTACGACTTGAGTGTTTTATTAAAATATATATCTTGTTTGTTGCCTGATGTTTAGTAATACTTCAATAAAACAGTGTAGTATTTATCTACTATTATCAAATACTGACGTAATAGCATTATAACGTCAACTCGTCATTTTTTATAGTGATGCAAATAATTGTGCGTGGGCCTTTTTAACGATAGCCTCTTTTGATTATTCTTGTAACATGTCCTTTATTCTTGTCATTATTTAACAATTATTTGAATCACCTACTTATGTATGTATTGCGTGATAATGTTTCCTATATTTATGTTTGAATGAATTAAGAAAAAGTCTTGAAATTAAATATCCACAATATTTATTTAATTAAACTACATAAGAGACAATTTAATAATAATAACTATACACATATCTATAATTAAATTATGTACATTTAAGTTTGTATTTGTATGCATTAAAATTTTAAATTATTTTAAAAATCTTAATCTAAAATAAAATAATATCACAATTTTGTTTCTTCTGGGAATGTACTCGCACAGTTAATATCAGAAATAAGGTAGAAAACAGACATAAGATAGAAATAGAGATCAAATTTAGTCTATGACTAGCTTGAGTTTTGGAAGCGTGACTAGATATTAATGAACTTAGGCTAGCTTCAGAACGGTGGGTTCATCCTTCAAAAACGTGCTGGAGCGTTGCATGCCACCAGCGGACGCCGCCATCGCCGATTTCTGTTTTTGATCCTCCTGCTGCTGCTGCTGTTGCTTCTTCTGAGTCCTAGTGGATGGTTTCTCTATTTTCCTTACGTTCGTCGCGCTAACGGCATTACGCTTGTTCAGCGGCTGCTCTTTTTTGGCCTCCTTTTTGATGTTGCTCGTAGATTTTGCAATGGGCTTCGGCTTTGGAGCAACAGAAGCGGAACGGTTGCGATTTGTTAGGTTGGACGTAGATGCAGATATGGGTTGCTTTATGTGACGGGGAGCGGACGCCTTGGCGGAGCTCGCCTGCGTCGGAAGGGTTAGGGTGCTAATTCTACGGGTGGTAGATGGACTCGGTGGGACTTGAGGAGCTTTCGCCGCTAAGAGCAAACTCCTCCTTAGGGATGGACTCGGATGAGCTTGGCTCGTAGCTGGACTGGAATTACGTGACGAATCTGATGAACTGGTCGTCTTACTTGAAACCATTCGAGGCAATCGGCTCGGTTCGTTTCTTTTGTTAACTTTCGGAGTCTCGTCCAGTTTGGCCAATTTCCTCACGTGATTCTTTAAGCTAGGGTCCATTTTACTCCATGATGGACATTTGTTAAGCTTGTGCGGTTTCAGCAGCAACCGCTTCTCAAAGTGTGCATGCAACCGTCCGATTAAGTCTAATACTAAGTCTGATGCAGAGTCCTTGTACTTGTTGATCATATTGTGAGTTCTAATAAATATATTGCACTCCTGCTCTAAGTTTAATCCTTCTGCTGAACTCAGCATAATTTCTTCTACTGTTCCAATACTAACAAAGTCAACATCCAGCAACGTGACCATTACACCAACATAATGTTGGCTTATGAACAACTTGCACTGCTGGGCCAATTGAAGGCCCAATTGGATGACGGACTCTGCCCACTTTAACGTGGGCAACGACGTTAACAGTCTATCACACGACAGGTGTGTAGTAAGTACATTATCGCATGTTAAGTAAATTACGTGCTGCTGATAGCATTTTTCCTTCAATTCCTTAGGTAATTGAGCGAAAGCACGATTTGGCCATATTTTTAAGTAATGCAACGTTATCCATTTCAAACATTTTAAGTAGAGCTCGTCTAGGCCATAAGCTGCAGACAACGGCAACACCTACAATTGACAACATATAGATTATGACATTTTACACTTTTTCCAATCAACAAACCTCTAAGACTCCAGTTAGGCAACCAGGACATGGCGAGTGAAACTGATGGCAGTGCCGGGATTTTAAAGCATGCGCCACTACCTCCTTAAGACCTTCCAGACTCAGCATATCAGCCAAAGAGGCGAGTTCGACCAGGCTTATGGAATCCGGCACGTGGCTTGCTCCACTATAAATGTGGCAGAGAGCGAAATGCACAGCGTCATAGCTAAATCCCTCGATGGTCAAGGAGCGGCCCCTCAAAGTGCCAGCGAAATATTGGCAACGTGAAATTAGTATGCATCGATGTGCACGGATCACCCTTGGAGGACTGCCCACGTGCAACACGGTGTCAGTATCCGTTTCCTCCAGAAACATTCGCAGCAGATCGGTTCCCAGCCTTCTCTGACATGTGGATGTTTGCGAGCCTACGAGATTTGATAGTTTCCAATTACATCACAGATGAAACATTAAATTATTTATTCGTGATATGCATTGTGGATATTGTGATCCGCATATCAATGCAAATTGTGTGCCATTATTGCTACGTGATATTCAAATCCTACAACTCACAATAGAGAACAACATTTATGCTATGCACAATATATTTTGCTACATGAAGTTATTTATAATTAAAAAAACTAAAAATAACAATGCATACAATTTGCAAACAACCCATAGATTTAAAATAACAATCTGTTGAACTATACTAAATCACACAACATGCATACAAAAATGATGGAAATTATACAACGCGATAGAACACGAAAAAATATCAAAAACATGCACATTACATTCATTCAAACCATTAAAATCTACCTATATATTTAAAGCAAATGATGTCATTTGATTAATTATATAATCAACAAAGACCTTTAAATGTAGAATTTATAGTTTTTGTATTAACTATTATATGAACATATTTTTGCTAAAGCATATTTTGAATTATATGATTAATAAATTAATCACAAATGATGCCATATATTTATGTTAATCAAATATTTTTTAAAATGTGTAAATTAAAATTACCTGTGCTTTCAACCAAAGAGCTGGTATTATCAGGTTCAAGTGGTCTTGGTGCAACTCTGTAACCCCCTGATCTTGACATAAGCAAAGGACTTTCCACCCAAGAACTCTCTGGAATGGATTTACTCATTCTTGGCACATATTCACTGCAGCTCTGGGGAACCTCAGCTTCTACTTTTGGTTTAGCTGTCATCAAATCAGATAGTCGAACAAACTGAAAAGATTGAGATTGGGGTGATTCTGCATAAATAATTTGGTGAGTTTTACCTTGGTAGTTGTTTCTTCTGCAGGTTCAGCTGCTGCTTTTGGTGGATCTGCATTAGCTGCTGTAGAATTTAAACTTTCCAAATCAACCTCACCAATATCACTGCCATTCTCAGAACCTGTATCATCAGCATTCTTTACTCTCATAACTTGTCTGTTGGAGGCACGTCTTCTATGGTTCAGTAATCTACTTGGCACTCCTTTCTTCTTGGGGGCTTCAAAGTCAATTACCATGGAGAAGATATTTTTTGTGGTAAAATCTGAAGTGTTTGAAACAGTCTCATTGGATTCCTCCTCTCCAACTTGACTGAGATCCACATAAAAACCCAAAGATGGTTTTGAGGCTGAATCTAGTTTCTCTTCTTCAAAGTTTACAATTGAGTTGAATGGAGTGTCTGTTGGAGTGTCTTCAGAGGGTAGCTGCAGCATCCTGCTGTACTGTGGCATGGAGGTTTGAAATAAGAGGGAGCCCTGTCTTCGTTCGTCGTTCTTCTTTTGATCATCCATGACTTCTTCCTCATCCTGCAGACTAGATGCATCAATGAAACAGTGGGCCCCATTCAGTAGTTGCTCATTGTGCCTCTCCTTCTGCTCCTTGGTGCGACTTCTCCTTTGCTCCTCATCACTTCCAAGGCCCGAATCCATTTTAATCATCCGCGTTCTTCCGTCCGATTATCTTCATCGCTTTCTTAACACTGCCATCGGCTTCGGTTTTCTGAAGGCCACACCACACACACAGCTCTCGTATGTTATTTGTTATTGTCCCCCACGGTTGTTCATTTATTTTGACATTTCACATGCATTGACATTGACGAGAGAGAAACTGGAATGAAGTTAGGATCACTAAATCACGTATGAAATCCCTTCCAAATTTGGCCAAACTACATAATGAGCACATAAAAAGAAAACAACAACCGTCAACAATTGACCTTCGATTTATAAATAGTAATTATTCATAATTATAGGAAGGACCGAGAGGAATACGAGAAAAATAAGCAAACACTGCAAATTATTTTTTAATAGCTTTGAACCCAATATGGTGCTGACCATAAAACGATAACAATAAACCATAAATAGACCAAACAATACCTTCCTCAAAGCTATTTCTCTTTGAAGAGTAAATGTTTATTAACTTACCTTACTATTGTTAAGCGAACAAACAAACAAACAGTCTTAGGTTAATTATCGATCGCCCATTTCATATAAGTACTGTCCTAGTACCTTTTTGAAACTGCCAATCCTCAATCTTGATTATCTAATTGTGATTGATGATCTCAAGTAGTGGGAATCCAAAAATTTGCATAAATTTTCCATTGCCATAGCAATAAACTTTCTATTTTATTTAGCGATTATATTAATTAAATTAGCAAGTAATAATAATAATAAAAAAACATCTATTCGGATAGCACTTTTTGAAGTAAGCTATTTTTAAATTCAAACTATGCGGCTTTGGATATACAAAAAAATAAATACAAAACTATGCTTAATCTGTATTTGCAGATGTCGCTTCGTTCGGCTTATTCGATCTACCAATAATAAGCTTAAACTTGTCAAATAATAACGTAACCTGAAATTTGTTGCTGAATTACGTGTAAATCTGTTTAAAATGTTTACCTTTTTCTTATTTACGATATTAGCAATAACCGTAGTAAGCTACCAATAAAATGCACGTCTTATTAAAACTAATTTTAATTCATTTTAGCCTTCTATCAAATCGGAATTGTCCACTGATGATTGTTGGTCTTTGGGTATCAATAAAGCAAATTTGTTATGTTCATCCTGTGATCAACTGCCAAAGTTCAATTTGGAATTCTTAAAGTAACATTTACATTGTTTCTATTGATTTGTATTCAAAATTGTTTTTTTTTTAGGGATCATTGCAAAGAATGTTGTCATGCAGATGATGCAAGCAATGCAGACAAAGTTTATGCCAAAGCAATTCTGGAGGTGTGCACCTGCAAGTTTGGAGCTTACCCCCAAATCCAAGCCTTCATCAAGAGTGATAAGCCTGCTAAATTCAGTAACCTGCAGATCAAGTATGTGAGAGGTTTAGACCCAATAATCAAATTATTCGATAAGGATGGACATCTTAAGGAGACAGTGGCAATTGAGAAGTGGAACACTGATTCTGTTGAGGAATTCCTTAACACCCATTTACAAAACAACGAAGAGCATGATTATTTAAGAACAAATATGATTTAGAAGTATTTATTAAAATTATTTTAACGTCACAATACCATCTTTAATTTCAACTGTATCCAGTGATTCCAGTTTCTTGTTGAACTTCTCCTCTTTCCCTGATTGTTTCAAATATGCCTTGAGCACTGCTTTTCTCAGTTTAGCAACTGACATGTTTTCCTTGCCTTTGAGTTCTTTGAATATTTGCGTTTCAAATGAAAACTTTCCACCCTCTGAAACACCATTCTCTTCTGGTGCCTCCTCTGATTTTCCATTTTCAACAACTTCAGGTTCAATTTTTGCTTTCTTGCTTGTAGCCTCTGACTTGGCTGCTTCTTCAGCTTTCCTCTTGGTTGCTTCACTTTTCTGCTCTAACCATTTCTTCTTGTAATTATCAATAACATTCCATGCAGCTTCAATATTATGTTTGGGAACTCTTCCACCTAATGAGGAGAATACAAAATTCTGCAAATAAAAGAAATTAAAAATGTTTTGAATGAAACATTTAAATAATGAATTTACCATAAATGGTTTCTGTTTCATTGGCAAATTGTTATTAACTAAAATTTTGTCTAAAACATTTCTTAAATCTTTTGAGAGTTTGGTGTCATTGTCTATGGAATTCCTGATCATGTCCATCCATTCCTGCTGTTTCTGCTCTCCCTTTGGGATCTCACTCTGTTTAATACTAGAACCTTTTGCTGAATACCTATCAGCTTCACTCACACACCTGATATGTTCTCCATAAGCATCACCACTAAAAAACAAACAAATGAAATTATGATTTACTAATTACACACCAGTTAGAAACTTACAGAAAATCTTTATGGCAATCAACACATGTTAAATTTTTGCCTCTTTTACAAGAGAATTGATAATGCTTCTCTACTTTTGGTTTCTGCAAACTCTCGCCACAATTGTTACATGTAAAAACGACCATTTTCGTCAATCAATTTGTATTTGGAGAATACAAGATATTTATAACAACCAAACCAGAAGCCACAGCAATAAGGCTGCAACCAGCTACAACCGCTATACTACACGAGTTATTTTTTAGGTTATATTATCGATAACCTATGTTTATATTTGAAGTTAAGGCTGGTTATGGAATAATGCTTGATTGGTTGCCTTCTTAAACTTAAGTTTTGTATAAATTATTTTAAATTGGTTTTTATTTTTCTTCATTGTAGTTTCTTTTTAAGAACTCAATCTTATAACTCACAAGCATTTATTAACAAATGTGTGTTAACTACTGAAGATTATTTATAACAAATTTTAAAATCACTTGAAATTGTCTTTTTGTTCATCAATCAAGGAGAACATTTTAAAATCTGAAACTTACATACTTACCTTATTGTAAAACTCATTGAATTTGATAAACAAATCATGTAATAAATAGATTTTTTATAATAAAAACAAAATTGTAAGTTTATTACAAAACAAAAACGACTCTTAATAAACTCTGAAATGATCAAGAAAATAGATATGTAATAATTGTTACGATTAGTATATAATATTAGTCCATCCGATATAGCTCTATAGGTTTCTATTCCTACGCTTAGCATAAAGAACCTGCAAATACATAACAATTGCATAAAAAAAGAAGAAACAAAGAAGTAGCGTTCTTTTATATAGGATCTCGTTAGGAAGGTAGTTCATATTTATTATACATACACAACGCCTTTGTTTTAAGAGGATAACAGTGGAGCGAGAGTTGATGTGTTTGAAAGAAAAAGTGAATTAGATATTTTGCTGTGTGGTTATTTTTATTTTATTTTTTTTGATTTATGTACGTTTATTTTCACTTCAATAGATATATTTTTTGATTTCAATTGACATACAGTACAATAAGCTCATTGTGATGAAGGATTCAGTATATATATTCGTAGATGAAAGAAGGTAAATGAAAGTCGAATTGATAACTGAAAATGCGCAATTGGAGTGTATCTGTGTGTGTTTCTGTGTCTTTTGTTTTAGTAGATATTGAAAACAGCGAAACGAACATGAATTGCGTGCGTTTATGATAAACTTAAAAATCATTTGTATCATTATATTCTTTTAGCTTTACACTTTGTATATATATAAGATTTGTTTTTTTTTTGTATAAATATATATGTTTATAAAATATGTAGAAATATAAATATAGTACTTTTTTTATAATATTATTAAAAACTTGCAATGTAACTCTTTCAAATCATATTTGTACGTGGAACAGAATAAAATTTGATAACGCAATGGGTGTATATTTGATAATGTTTTCTTATTAAATTAAATTATTGACTTCCGTTTAATTGCAAATTAATGGTTTGATTGTTACAAAACGCTTTATATTTGTAATAAATAGTTTTTTTTTGTTGTTTGTTTTTTTTAAAGTGTGTTGAAAGGAATTTGAAAACACTCTACGCTTTTTGTTGTTTGGGTAATAAGATATGTTTTGTTATAGTAGATAGTTTTCAATAGTGGATAAGTTCCTATTGTGTGTGTTAAAAAGACAAATAGTTAGTGAGAATCCTTTTTTAGGCAAGCAGGGACGGGGGGCAACATCAATATTTCTGTTCATTAAATCTATCTAAGTTATGTTTGAAACAAATCGGACCAATCCAAATGAAAATTATTTTCAATATTTCGATAAATTATTATTATGTTGTTGTTTTTTTTTGTTGTTCTTGCATGGGATTGTCTACTGAGCGTTGTTAAGGAATGTAATAAACAAGAACGCGTCAAAATTTGCATGGAATTGCAATGGATTGGTCTAATTTATGATATTATATATATATATATGTAGTATAACATCGAAAAATCTAATTTTTCCCATAGAAAAGTTAGTATGTATATATGTATACAGATTTGTTTGAAGAAAGTGGTAAATGACACCTAAAATGACCTTTTTGGTTGATTCAGTATTTGGCAAAACGCAACCTTTGCTTACGGACGAATTCCATGGCCAATCGATCAGTTGCTCTCGATTCTAGGATCTGCAGAATCGGTTGATCTGGAAAAGAAAATTTAAAAAGTTTAAAATTTACATTTTTTTAAATTATTGATATTTTTATTTCTATCGAAGTTTCAATATTGATATAATGTAAGTTATGTGTATTAATTGCACTTACTCTTTTGATGCTGTTGCATTAAGATGAGATCAACTGGTTTGAGGCCATGGAAATTGTCGACACCTAGACCAGTATCTGCGACACCTGGAATGTTACCAAGAGCGAGGAAAGCCTCTCCGGCAAAGTCGTTAGCCGTTAAGACATCGTGATCCATGACGGTGAACGCAATCATTGCGCCAGTGGATCTGCATTGTTCCAGCGTAACGCTGAATTCAAAGCATTCATCAAAAATCGGATGAAGGGTCTTCTTGTGGACGTTCGTTTGTTGTTCGTTGCAGTGCGGAAACACGCGGAACGGTAATAATTCGATTATGACGAACGGATCGCTGAAGCCATTAGGATCCAATGGTATTATATCCCGTGCATGCAAAACCTTAATCAAAAGCCATTTAGTAGGAATTCGAAGAGTAAAGAATTGAATGAGAATACCTCGACACAAAGGGAATCGTGGTTGAAGTAGGCTCGAACCGCCAATGCACCGTACTGCCCGTTGATCGTGCTCAATTGTTCTTGGAGCCTTTGGTTGTAGAAAATCTCAATCAAAGAATCGGTGTCGGTACGGTGGTACTGAAGCCTCTGCTCGACGTGATAGAAGCCTTCAGAATGTAACGATTCCATGGCCAAACCTTGACCATCTGCGTAGAAGAACTCTACCATCAGCTCCAGAGCGGCATGCAGACGTTCGTGGAACATTGCAGGCATCTCCTCTCCATTTGCTCCACCATCCATTTGCCGATTCAATTCGCCCAAAGTGTATTCCCACACCTGCACATAATGAATAAATAACACTCCTTTTCAACTAGAATAATCATTTACCTCGTAAAGAACTCGTTGGAAGTTCTGCGGCAATAGCGACACATTCAAGCTGACCAAATTGCTGTGAAGATAATCGAAGAGTGGCTCCACCGCTTGATTAGTGGGGAGCGTGTCCGGTGACCAAGCCAGATGGAACATGGCCTTTCGCAACGCTTCCTGCATTTGCGGACCAATTCTCTGCAGAATGTCCATCACGCGTAACTGCAATTGGCTCAAAGTGCTTTCCAATTGATTCGTCAGAGTGGCCGATTGCGTTTCCGGCGCCAGAGATTCCAACGTGATGAAATCAAAGTAATTTTCTGCAAATCGATAATCGTTATTTCGTTTCGCATTGTCCGCATCTACTAAAACTTACCAAGCAAGGAAATGAATTTGAAAACGTATTCGATATTGTTAACGGAAATGCACATTTCGTCGGACAGTTTGAACGGTCCGAGCCTTTCGAAATACGCGTTCTCCACCAGTGTTCTGTAAATCATGTCCACGTAAAGAAGGGAAGCGGAACAAATGCAATCTAGAAGTTGGGATAGAAGTGGGATGGAATGCGCCTTAGGCCATTGAAGCAATCGCCAGAAATCCCTTAATTGACAGAACATTGCGACCACGTCGACCGCAGATGTACTGTGCTTTACGAATTTCTCCCCGACGCACGGCCTTTGAAGTTCGACAGAGGCTCGTACTCTTTGCAAGGCTTTTCCTTTGCACACATTCAACCAACAGCTGACCGATGGTTCAAACCATTCGTAGCACTTCGGTAGAAGCAGCTTGTGGTCACCACCGGATGGCAGATGCTGATTGAAAGATCCAAGATCTTTGACCTCCATATACACCGCAAAAATCAAACGGGTGTACGTCACGCTGATGTGGTCCCCTTGATCCAAGAAAGCGATAACCTCATCCGCCAACAGTTTATCTAATTGCTTGAATACAACGCTGAAATACGGAATACCATTTGTGCCTTCGAAGAGTGGATGGTAATGCGAGAGGCCGTGTTCCAAGTGGACGTAAACTTCGGCGCAGAACTCGACGAATGCATTATCATATTCATCCACCTTAACGATGCTGCTTTTCAGATTTCCAAACCATTCCGGAGTCCCCTTGCGGATGGCTGCTACGATCTCTCCGCGAATTTCCTTGTTAAATGGACAGCATTTCCAAAACGCTTTCTATCAAATCAAATAACAATTATGATAAAAAATATCAAATTTTCGATGAATCAATAACCAACCATATTAGTTAGGTTTGCCAAGCACCGCAGTACGAATTCCAATCGCGTTAAGGAGGCCGTATGAAGGGCAGGAAACAGCTGCCTGTGGTGCCTTAATTGATGAAGCCATCTTTCTGTAATTAGAAATTGTTGTTGTTAAAATGATTAACGCTGCAATGTAATTGAGACCTAGGATGGAAGTGAACGCTTCTGCTAGCCACATTTCCTCCTCTCTAGTTAAGCTGGAGCTGGACCAGGCCAATTCCACGTCGGTTAACAGCTGCAGCATCCATTTCGGATCCAGGGATGTCTTCAGATAAACCCTCGATGCGGCGACGAATCTCGCGATGGCCGTTTGTAGATTAGATAGATCCCCCTGAACAGCGTGCTGATGAAGGATAGTCAGTGCTGGTCCTGGCAGATCCCCGCTCCATGTCCACGGCTCCTTATGCCAGTTCCTCAGCTCGTAATCAATAAACGTGGCATACAAATTCTCATGCTGCATGAGTTCCGTCCAATTATCCTCTTCAGAAATCCCTCTGTCTTCCCTAGTCGACAACCACATCTTCAAGCGGATCCGCCCCTGCACGGAGCTCCGTTGAGAACGCGCCTCCAGTTTGAACCAACCTTCTAAACCCGTCGATGGGATATCTTGAAGTGGGATTGTTACGCATCCCAAGAAGTCGTCTTGAGAGCTTTGTCGCGCTGATTGGCAAACTTGTTTGAAGAATCTCCCCAGTCCTCGCACTCCTCGAACTTCGTTTAATTTACTAACGGCCTCGAGTACCGAGCTTTCATCGTCGTGGTCCCAAATATCCAAATGCAATGAATCACTGTTGATGTCGTCTATGTCGCTGTAATCAAAATTAAATTAATTAATTAATTAATTAAGAGTTTTATTGTTTGTTTCTAACAATCTAAATTTTTCGTTCCAACGGGGATTTAGGGTGTGCGGTTTCACGGATGTTGCCCTTATGAATTTTGCCGGAAGAGCGGACCCGATGGAATCGCGCTGTTCGCGCATTCTTCCGTCTTTTCTCTTGAAGCTCAGTTTAAAGCTATGATGTTTCCTTAGCTTCTCATGATTACCAAGCATCTGCGGGGATCCTCCATCTGAGCAGCCGTCTGAGAGAGTTCTTCCCGGCATGCTAGGAGGTAATGATTGCTGCTGTGGTTGTGGAGAAGAAGGCGCATCGACGGGTTGAATTCCCAACATGCAATAAGGATCGCTGAATCCGTTAGCGTCTTTAGCTTCCAAACCTTCCGCTTCCATTATGACCACGCTCAGCACAACGATTGGGGGTTTTTCCTCCCCTGCCAAATGCAGCATTCTGTAGTGACGATCAGGTGGAATGGTAAAAGCCCTTTGCCCGTAAAGATACAGATCCTCTTTGAAATGACCGTATTGTCCTCCAGGAGCTGGAGCGCCGACTGCATTTGCGATAGTGTACAGCATCTCAATGTACAGTTTTTCCTTTTCGCTCTGCGATAAACTGAAATCCATGGGAACTATGCCCAAGTTACTTTCCTTCGTTGGCTCCGGTACGGAATTCTCATTATCTTTTAGCAGACTCTGTCTTCGGTTCTCCTGCTTCCAAGCCAGAGCCGTAAAACTTTCAAAGTACGATCCATCAATTTCTTGCACGCTAAAAAGGTAGATTGATTAAATTTGAGAGTGAGCGAGTGCAGGTTGGAGTCTACCCAGAATTGATTTGCTGATCAACTTCAGGCCAGGATTGTCGTCTACAGCAGAAGGATTGAGTGCTTCTGTCCGGTGTTGTCTTCGGAGTGCGTTGACGAAAAGAACCGGCTCTGCGAATCGGCGGAGCTGGCGCTAAACACTCGAGGGTTCGTCGACGGTTCTGCACCAAAGCGCTGGCACCTGGTGCAGGCAAGACCTTCGGGAATCCCGGTGTGTTGCTGTCACCTGAAGCGCTTCTTACTGAGGATGGCGTCGTGGCTCCGGTATCCGGCTCTTGCCTGCTCAAAGAAAATCTAAAATCCACAACCAAATTGTAACAGTCGCTAGGCAGTGTCGAGGGTGCATTTTTGAATCTGGTGTAGTGTTAATGTAATATATATAATATAACTTTGTTAAATACCTTTTTGGGCTAAGGCTTAGTCCTGCTACGCTATTACTCACATATTCCTGCAGCGAACTAAAGAAACTCATCTTTATTTCGTTTTCAGAGGAGCTGAAACAAGAAATGAAAAAGGGGTACGTGTTAGGATCTCGTCTAATTAGGCTCGTTACATAAAATATTATGGATCTTCAATTCGCGCTGGCAATTTATAACGTATTTGAAGGACTTTCCGCCTGTAATGCAAGATAAAGTAAATCCTACCGACGAAGAAGTCGTTCCATGAATACTCCATTGTCGCTTGCGTGACCAAATTTAATGGATATCAAAGATTTTATGATCCCGACAAGATATATCTACTATTTTATCGTCGGCGACAAATATTCCTAGAGAACTTCCTAGCATACATATATCACTCATGAAATATTTCCCGTTCGTGAACCCACTCAGTTCACATTCTTACATCTATTCATTCATCCTTTATCATCATGTACACCGCTACTGCATTATTATGCCTTACATTTTTCTTTCGCACAGGACTCTGTATGAATTTTATGTCCGCATTTTACTGATTTAAGACCATAAAATAAACCACTTAGCAACACTTCCTTGGCAGTTTGATCAACGAGATTGCCTGCATAAAATCATCGTTATTATTGAACTATAACTTTAAAAAAGTACATTAAAACTTTAACAGTTTATTATATGAAAACAGCAACAGATACACATCTGACAGAATACTCAAGATAAAGTCTGTAATTGCCTGTAATTAGCACACTTATAATTCTTCTGCATTCATTCTTTTGCAGCATAAAAATAAAGTAGAAGTCTGTATATTCAAATTAAACAAGTTTATTTTTTATTTCAGAATAACTTTAACATAAATATTTTTGCAAAATCGATTGAAATTACGGAAGGACAACATTCGTGATGTTCTCATGATATGCGATATAAGTGTACCAACATAAAAAGAGAGTTTACATGATTCGGCAATATGCTGAAGGGGAAGCAAGGGAGATGATACCTTTGGGGTGCATTTCGTAGGGGAATGTAGAATATGATAATACTGGAGGGAGTGTTATTGATTCCAACGTAGAGTAATATATTTTTGAAGAAAATCTTTGAGAAACGGGTACGTGTTGAAAATAGTAGCGAAATAGAAAAATATATTTTATAAGATAAATGTGTATTTGAAAAAAAAAGTTTACTGGTTCAAGTTTAACAATCAATTTGGTTTATATTAATTATCTTAAAGTTATACTAATAAGAAAGGTTCATAAATCAACATATTTTAATACTAAAATAAGATTTTGGTGTTATTACAGCTATATCTCGCATAGTCCGGTTACGATAATGTAAGTTTTAGATTGCTCAAAAATTGCATAAAAATACATATTTTGCTATTGATAGCTGTAACTTAATATCAAACAGTATTACAACATTACACGTCTATCACACGAGATATTTCCTATCGAGGAATAATATGTTTACACACAGTTTTCATGTTCGCAGTTTCCACAAACAAACTTCTGCAATTAGGCTACGTACGAATCTATAGTCTGGCTGTTGCTTACCAATTCCTAACTTTGAATTGGCCTGTTTTTGCAATTGATGAGCTTGTTTATAACAAGTTTCCTTTTGTGTATTATCATCTTTCGAGCGCCAGATTTGAATGTTATCTAATTATAATAATAGATTATCTATTATATAGATAATCTAAAGGTTCTATAGTTAATTTTATAAGTTATTAATTGTAGTTATTTTTTATTTGTTGTTATTAAAAAATATATAATTATATAATAATAATTAACAAAGAGGTATTGACAATATGCCATATATTTTTTTATTAATTTTAAATCACATAAACAAATGATGTAATCAAAATACAATTATTGTATAGTCTCTATATATTTAAGAAACGTTTAAATATACTGCATATTTTATGAAAAAAAAAAACGGTGACACGATGCACATCCGACAAAATCGACATTTAAGTCTTTTTCAGACGGAGCTTTGACATTTATTCTGTAGCGGTGACACTTATATAATGTGGCGTATTTCGATAATACACGCCACATTATAATAAAACACAGAAGTTTCGCAAAAACAAATTATACCTTGGTTTCGATTCACTATAGTCCGGTTTGAAAACAAATTAAATTTTAATTGAGCAAAATTAAAATATATTCTAAAGAACTATTACAATTTAAATTTTCAGATTTTTACTCGTAAGTGAAATAATTATTTAAAAATTCACATAATATGTGAACACACGTTTTAAAAATTATGTAACTTCTCTTGTCATCGTCACTCGTTATGCGAAACGTTGCTCGTTAAGCGAGTTATTATTCTTACAATTCATTTTGCTCGTTAAGCGAAATGCTCGTTATGCGAGGTACTAGTTAAGTAAAGTTCCACTGTATATTATACGCATTTCTATTTTATTTAATTTAATATTTCATTATCAGCCTTTTGTTAAATATGTAAATGCACGTGAAACTGCAACAACTCGATATTTTAATTCAGTCAATTCGTTTATTTAATTAAATTATCTAGTGACAAAAAAATTATTATGCAGGAGGACACAGGAGACGGGACGTGCCGTATTTCTCCCATCTGATTCAGATTTGCATTTTGCTGATAGATCGACCGAAAAAAATAGATAAATGCATTTAATTTCAATTATTAAACAATTGCGTTCGATGCAAAACAATATTCAATAGCCGCCGGCTGGATTTTCCAGATCTTCTCTAAATTAATTATCGCGCTTCATTTGACGCATTATTTCGATGCCGTGTTAATTATTCCGCACGTATAATTCGGGATTTCGGACCCGATAAAATATTTATTTTTCCGAGTTTCGCCTGTGCATATGGAATTTCCAATTTCCATTTAAAACATTTTATTTCATTGCAATAATCAGTAATTTCAGTTTTTGTGCAATTTCACAATTTGTTTTTGTGACATAACTAAATTTTGTTTATTTTGCATTTTGCGTTTCAATATAAAATCAATTCATATTTTATAAATAATTTTCTTTATTGTTATTCAATTTACTTTTCTTTATTATTACTATAAGTTTTATTAAAGAGACACATAACAAATTAATTAGTAATATATTTTTTTTAAATCTAATAGTGTAGATCTAATAATGTAGATGTCATTGATAACAAATCAATCCGGGATGTTTTTTACCAATACCCTTCTGGGATCCTTTTAAATTTAAGTGCAACCAAAAAGTTTGAGAATCGCTGGTGTAGATCAAATTGTATCATAGAATATTACAAGTTATATCACATAATTAACATTAAACAATAATCTATTTTATTTAGTTAATTTCTCAAGAACTTTCTTTTCGATATATCATTATTATATTATTAATGTAATAAACATATAAATATTAGTATTGATATAGAAATATAAACGATTATTTATTTTATACTAGTGAATTTCGAAATAATTCAACTATTCTAAAACAAGTATTTTCGTTGAAATACAATTTAGAAATACATATTTTCATAACTAATATGTATGTAATATTAACGATGAGCATGTTCTGCAAAATTTTTGATATAATAACAAGGATTATGATCATTAAACTTGATAATACGTACAGATGTAGGAATTATGATTAACTATTCATATGTATTTATCCCAGATATTGGAAATGTAAGCACTTCATGCAAATCGGCTTATTTATTCATATATTTAGTACAATCAAATCAATTCATGCTTCTACGCTTTGCATTACATTTCAGAATTGCAGCAAATCATACAAAACCGATATTATAATTAATAATTTAAATCTAATTAAAATTGACTAATCTTTTTTAAAATTTTAATACAAAGAACTTATAGAAATACATATTACAATGCGGATATTTGAAACCGTACTAATCGAGGTCTTTAAAACTTCACATAAAGATAAATTTTCAATCCGCACTATGTGAGTTATTGCTTTATATTTAAATTCCACGTTTCCATTTTAAATAGCATTTTTTTTTAATTTTAGCCTTCAAAATCTCAAATAGTAAGAAGTGAATTCAACCTATAAATAAATTTAAAATAAAAAATTAATTAACTAATTAAAAAAAAGTTCAATAAATTTAGAAAACGTCACATTCTAATACAAATTTCATTAATTTAGACTGATTATAACAAAAGTCCAGGATTTCGAAGAATTGATTGTTTCATTGTACTAAAAATATCACGTAATGGGATTGGAAATTAATCAATCGCGCCACCGATAAACAAACAAGAGAAGAATGAGAAAAAACACAATCGATATCCTCGACTTCCCCCGGGAAAGCAGCGCACTCTCAAATTAATAATAAAAAAAACAAATAAGTTTTCTTTGTTTCCTTACGTTCCCCGGCAGATTTGACATTTTTGTTTGTTTGTTCTTTCCATTTGTTAACCACTGCTATGGGTGGGTTCCTTTACTAAATCCCAGAGAAAACCGTTTTCCCACGTTTTTTATTCTCATTAATAATTACTCCCCGTCCGTTGCGAATTTCAAACGCCCGACCGTGATTTAGCATTTCCGGATTTACATTCATAAATGATGCGCCTCCTTTTTTGGGTCACCAACCAATGATACTCATAAATAATGAAATTAAAGATTAAGCAATTTCGTTCGTCCTATATATATGTTTTGAAGGTTTAAAATTTTAAAAGAGGTTTTTATGAAAGAAAAAAGTTTCTTTTTCTTAGACATTCTTAAAAAATTAAGAATATTCTCATAAATAATTGTAATTATAACAAATACGATAATTTAATGTATTCTGTTTTACTAACATTTCAAATGCACACGGAGTAGTCAAGTCGTATCTAAATAACCCAGACATGTTCAAATTATAGTAATCTCAACGACATTTGTCCCATACATCGAGCTTCTTCTTGGGACCAGCCTTATGCAAATGGTTCCAAACGATTTTGGAATAAGTTCTCGCAACGGTCCAACTCGATAATTTCCATGATTTTATCAACATTTTCGATTGGCCTACCAAAGTGTGTCTCATCTCCGACGTCCATATTATCAGAACGGAAACATTAGAACCAATCGCCTGCTCCGCTTTTCCCCTTGGTCGTAGTGGTACTGAAGAATGTTCGAA